AATTATGATAGATAATATTTATATAATACACCCTTTTTTTATTTTTATTTTTAATATTAAACTATATATTCCGTGAATGTACACTAATTTAATGATAAAAAAAGAATATTTCAATGAAATTTAAATGTTTAATACTTTCTTTAAGAACGAATTGTATGTAACTATCGTTTTTAGTACTTTGAACCGCCGGGGGAACGGATGATGGACACGCGAGAAAACACAGTAGTCCCGAGAATAAAGTCTTACCAACCAAACAACGATATAACTACTATGGATTGCAAAAAAAGTAAAGAAAGGAAAAAAATATATGAAATAGAAGGTATGCTCCTCCGTGGGCTCGTTTTCGTTCGGTTCGCGCATTAAACCATGCTCCTACGTCATGATACTAACCTAATTGACAATATGGTTTACGAATTCTAATTATTTTTACTTTTTTTTTTTCTTCTTTTTATTTATATATATGAATGAAATGTTTAAATGTATTCATTCGCAATTTAGGAATTTTAGATTATGTTTATGTATTTATCATTAATAGAAGAATAATTATTGTTAGTGCAAAAAAATAAAATGTATACACGTATACATTTTACAATGGATGTAATATAAATAATACATGTGTGTGTGTGTGATAAAGAAAGATATATATATATATATGATTTATATATTTGAAAATTGTAATTAAATAGAGATGAGATATTTTTGTAAACGTTTATAACGTTTCGTATTTGCCGCCTGTTTGAACTTAAGGATTTTCTAACGATCTGATTGGTCGAATTGGGTTTCTACATACAGCCACTCATAGAGGGGCTTTTCTTTTTATAACACAATGCGATAAAACTACACAAGGTCTTTGGAATTTGCCACTTAAAACATGCTATGAATTATTCTATTTCTTACAATATCAAAGATATAGATAGTGAAGAAGATTTTTCGAGAAACATACGTGGCAAAAAGAGAAAAGATAAATCACATGAATTGTTATTATATATATATATATATACAAAACTGTTATATAACTACGATTTACTAGATAATATCATTCCTAATTTAAAGTTTGGATATCTTTGTAAGATAAAAACAAATTGAATCATTTATTTGACCTATTATTATTAACTTCTTTTTAAGTAAATTCGTTTACCTTAAGAGATAAAAAGAGAAATATGTTCATTAATAGAAATCAAATAATTATACTTGTTTTTTATTGTTTTTATGTTCTTTTCTAATAATATTTGTTTATGTTCACGCAACACATACATATATATATATATATATATATATATATATATATTTAGAAAATAGAATTTTCGTTTATTCTCAGTAAATTCATATACATATATTTCAACAAGTAATATAGAAACGTTTATAATAACAATTCAATATCAAGAAAATAATTGTTAAAAATTAATTTATATATACCAAGAGCAAATGTAATATATTATTGCTATAAACTCTTGAAACAAACTGTGTAATAAATTTGTAATAAAATGCTATTCATGATCATCATCATTCTAATAAACTTATTTACAACTAATAAAATAATTAATTTAAATATATAAAGATTTATTACTTGTAATATATGAATAGAAATTAGCAAAGATAAATGTAAAACCACGTGTGTGTATATACATATATATACGTATATTAAAATCTAATTGAAACTTGTAATCAATTATTTCTCAACGCATTCAGATATATATATATATATATATATAAATATTGATATATACGTATGCATCAATAATATATATATATATCATAAAACGTTGAGTGTTTCTTTTGCGATGTTCCTTGCTACTACTATAGAGCTGGCACATGGTCCGCGTGACCATCCTAACCTCAAATTTTGATTATCATGCAATACATATACATCCATATATATTTATATATATATATATAAATATATATGTACATAGATATATTAGATCGAAAGTATTCTTATACAAGTTATTATGTTAAAATGAAAATAGTCAATATAAAAAAATAAGAATAAAATTATGAATGTATTAATAAAAAAGTAAAGATGATGGAAAAAATGACTCACCAGAATTCGAAATATAACGCGGTGTACTCGTGGCAGCTACTGTTGTACTGTATCCTTGGGGCAAGTGATGAACAGCAGGATTATTAACGTGTAATACAAGCGGATGTTGCTGATGTTGGTTATGATGATGCTGTTGCTGCTGTTGTTGTTGCTGCTGCTGCTGCTGTTGCTGTTGCTGCTGTTGATGATGCTGATGATGGTAATGGTGGACAAGGTGGTGCTGTTTCCCTTTCGTCGGCATACTCATTAACTTCACAAACCAATTTCAGAACAATCATCCACTATCGTCAAATGTTGCCGATTTACGTAGCTCGCCTCGGTCCTCATAGGTACGTTATTTTCACACGCGTACGAAACGATGATAACAATATTACGTTCTTCTTAATATTCATTTATATTAATTTTTGTTAAATTTATTTATTGAGGAGAGAGGAAGGGAGGGGAGAAAGAAAAAGAAAAAATTAAAAAGTTTCGAGTACGTAATTAGCCACGACGTAGGTTTCTTTTTGTTTTCTTCCTCTCTCTCTTCTCAATTGGAACGATTGGTTCGATAGACGGTGAAGATATGAACGTGAATGAAGGGAACGTACGACACGGTACGACACGACCCGACCCGACACGACCCGACACGACCCGACACGACACGACACAATACGGCACGACACGAAACGATGCGAAGCAAAAACCCCACGTAGGGGAAAACACAAATGGGGAAGAGTTATACAATCAACGCGAGCTAAGACGCGGATTGCAAAAACCCCTACACAGGCATATATGTATATATATATATATATATATATATCCTTTATTTTCTTTTCTTGTTTCTTTTCCTTTTAGATAATTGCAATGAAAAATAATAAATAAGGATTAAAACGAAATGCTCGATGTGGTGGACACGATCGGTCGGTCAGAATAACATATACACACACATATATACGCCTATATTCCGCCCACTATTTTCTCTTTCTTTTTCTTTCTCACACTCTCTTCCTTCCACTGTTTTCTCCCTACGTGTATACAAGGAAAGCTCTTTGATCTTTCCAAGATTTGCGCGCGCGCGCGTTCTCGCGTGTTCACACGTTTCTTTGATTATACTTTTTAATTTGCTCGTATCACTGCTCTTGAATTTGATTTTATTATTTGCTTTCTTGTTTTTCGTTTTTACTATTACGAATTTAAAAAGGACAAATTAAATTCTACCCTTTTTCTGTATAACTAACGTTTAATCGACGTACTACTTGCGTTAAACATTGCATACGGTTTCTCTTTTTTTTTTTGTAAAGAACGTATACTCTGTGGCAAAGGAAATGAACGAATGGAAAGTTATGTGTACCAATTAGAACAGCCAATTCTATCGGGAAGTAATACCAGATGGCGCTATTAATTCTTTTTTTTTCCTTCTATGAATGTTTCCTGGTTGAAAGATTGAATTTTATTTTATGTGCCCTAATATTTTAATATAATATATATTTAATATAAAAATATATATAATATAAATTTAATTGTATATCGTAAGGAAAGTTTGCAGGTGATCACCGTGTTTTTTATATCTAGGGATTTTACCGTGGTATATCATAGGGTATTTAATTGTAACTGATTGTATACATTCCATCAGTTAAATCAACTAATTAATTATGTTTTATATATAATTGGTTCGATAAAATGATTTCCTTTCAAATATACCTGTTAGGAATGTATTAATTAACTGATGGAATCGCTTGAAATTAATAAGCTTGTATCCAGTTTAACCAATCGTAAGGACGCATAGTTAGTTACTATGCGCTGTGTGAGAGCATCGATAACCAATCAAATTAAATGTAAAGAATCTTTGATATTTAAGATAACATTTTATTGGTTATATAAAATATATATAAAGTATTAGAATGACCAATAGTTTATGCGTTTTATACGTGTCATTTGTTAGAAAAAAATCGCACGAATTTATTTGCCAATCTAATTTATTGCACACTTTTTTGATATTTTGAATATGATGCGAGCAAAGGAATCGATCAAAATAACGTACTCGTGTATTAGTGAAGAAGAAAAAGTTTGATAAAAATTGTTTTCTTCAAAATAATTATTTTCCAAGGCATTGACATTGCATCTATTGTAATTGATAATGCAGCAAAAGTAATTAAACAGTCAAATTCATTATCTTAACTCGTAAATATTATTGAAAAGTTAATTGATTTTTAGATCTGTACTTCGAGATAACCTATATAGAATTATTTGAAATAATAATAACTGGTGTTGCGCAAAAAATCTGCGCACGTTCGTACATCCTTTCGCGGTTTAAAAATTAATCGCCAAAAGAGATAAAGAAAAAGGAAAGCAGGAAGTATTTTCATTATATCCAAATAAAATACTCGAACGTACTTTCTCATTGGTTATCTCGCCGCTTCATTTTCTTTTTTCGCAATTCAAGAATTATCTACAACAAATATACTTATTAAGCAGGTACAAATCCATAATATTGTTAAAAAAATAAAAAAAACTATATTAAATATATAATACCGTAATATTAGGGTGAACTCAAACAAGTTCTTTGCGAAATTTTGTAAAAATTAATAATTTATCACTTGTATACAAGGAAAGTAATTTTATTGACTTGGAAAAAAAATGGCACTATCTGAACATCAACACAATAAACACTCGAACTTTTGGTTTACCCTAATAGAACAAATAACTTTAATATTTATAATTATATAATTATAGGAATAAATATATAATAGATATAATATAATGGTAGGTATATAAAAATGATCGGGGTCCAGGTAAATATAGGTGTTAATAGTATGCGCCTTAACGGTGTATTCCAGGTACGGTCCTGGGACCAAATCCGCGCTTGTACCAGTCGATTCGTACGGCGCGCCGTCATTGCACGCCAGTGCATGTGGTCTCATCGCGGTGTGTGGTTCGTCTTTTATTTCTCTTCATTTTCTTCTTCTTCTCTCTTTCTCTCTCTATCTATCTAACTAACTTTTTCTCTCTTTCTATTTTTCTGTTCCTTTTCTATCTCTTTCTCTCCTATTTGACTGTCGTCCTATGTAATTTGACAGAACAATTTAGCGAGGATTTAACAAACATCCAAGGATCTTACGTTGGGTTACGTTATTATTTACCTTCACGTAAACGTTCAAACGAATTAGAAGAAGAAGAAGAAGAAGAATAAGAAGAAAAATCTCTCTTTGGTGTTATTACCTGTCTACTATAAACGTAAAAACATCATCGTTTCAAAGGACATCAAAATATAGAAAGAAAAATTTATATTTTTATATTCCATTTGAAGAGAGGGGAAAGATTCAAGAATCATCGTGATTTAAATTAAAAAAAAAAAAAAAACAAACAACAACAACAAGAAAAGAAAAGAAAAGAAATGTCTGTGGATCCTGAGCTCAGTAACATTCTTAGCAGGAGGCAACGGATCAACGAGGATCTCGATGAGGGTAAAGAAGTGAAGAAACAATACAGATTTGTTAACGTATATACCGAATTCCATGAACTATCTCGCAGGGAGATCAAACGATACGAACAAACCTTCAACAGGTGAGCAGAAGAAAAGGTGATATTATAATAATATGTTTTCTTTTTTTCCTTTTTATATAAATATATATATATATATATATCTTTTCTATAGATTTCTATTCTTTTTATACATATTCCATTCTTATTTTATATAAAGATAATTTATATTAATAATAATAATATTAGTTATTGTATTTATTCGCTTGATCATTCATGATACAACACATTTCGTGTGAAAACATTTCGTTACGTGCAACAGCATTGCTACTACTACTACTACTACTGCGCATTTGTATGTGTGTGCGTGTGTATTCTTCCCACACAAGAATATTACAATAACAAAGATGCTGCGTTAACTACACCTGAGATCGGTAGAATTACAATCGTTAAATTTTATTCGCATATATATATATATATAATACGAATACTCATTTAATCTAGACATTGACCTATTCACCGACAATTATGAATTAATTATTTTCTTCTTTTTTTTTTCTTCTTTATTTCTATCCTATCATCTTTGTGCATTCACACAGTAAGTTTGAGTAGTGGGGAATAAGGAGAAGGAAGGTCGTACACGTAAGATTCGAATATGAATAATAGAAAACTCGTTTGATTCATCGTAAGAAACTATCGTAAAATTCATTTTTTGATTTTTAGTCATCATTCCTATAAAAGTCATTAACTTTATCTTTTATGATGCATACATACTTTGAACCTAACACATCGAAGTTTCAGCTTTATATAATCTCTACAAAGTAGATAGGAACCTTTTTTTTATCGTGCAAATGTTGTCTCACCGAGATACACTTATTTCTTCTTAAAAAAAAAAAAAAAAAAAAAAGAATAAAAAAAAACGGTATTTTAAATTTAGATTTATCTCATTGAACAAAAAGTGTGAAATAAAAAGAAAAAGTTACAAGAAAAAAATAAATAGGTACATTCATTGAGAGAGTATTAATTTAATTTGCATTTTTTTTGTCGATGCTAAGAGATTAATCATCCTTTTTTTTTTTTTTCTTTTGTTCAACGATGATTAAATGAAACCGATGTAAATATCGTTGTAATATTCGTTATAAATAAGAAAACTTGTAGATTTTGAATTCCTTGCTCGTGAATCAAGAAAAATAACATCTTATTTTCACAAAAGCATACTATACGGAATTCTATTCTTTTTTTTTTTTCTTTTCTTTTTTTCTAAGAAAGGGAAGACGCACTTTTCAGAAACCGGTATGCTACACGACGAGAGAGGTCCCTGTTCCTTTTTATACGTGTGCAGCATATTATATACACTGACTTACTCTCACAAAGACGGGGTGAGTCACGTAAGGTGATCATTTCAAAACTGTTCGGTTTACTGTCTCGCGGAATATGTTTACCAAGTGTCTCAAGTAATATTGGTAGTCAATTCAGCTGACAATAAATTTTTGTTCTCTTTAAACCATCAATAATATATATATCTATAATATATGTGCAATATACTATACGTATATTTTATACTTATGTTATAGCGGTTTAACCATTCGGTGACACGCGATAGCGAACATGAATTGTATCCGCAGATGTTTCGTATGTTGTGTGTGGTTATCTATCGTGCGTTTCCTGTCTCGATGAGTCGCACGGTGGCAATGTTTCCTTTTATTTCGATCGAATTTACAAACCTTTTTTGTCACTCATTCCTATTCGATTACAACAATAAATGTTTTCAAAAAAAAAAAAAAAACCAAACAAATAAAAAGAACAAAAGAAAGCCCAAAGTACAAAGACAAACCATCAGTTTGAATATTTAAAAGTTCCCGCCAATAATAATTAACCCTTTAATAATTTTGGCGCCATATTTGAAAATTCAAATCTAACATTATTTTTAATTCTATAAGAAGAAAAATTGTGATATAACACACACACACACACACATTAATAATTAATATTTGGATATATATATTATAAATAATATAGTTGTGTGATAATTATATAGAGTTGACAGTATCGATGGTATCGGATAAATCTCGTAATGTTTTAAAAATAGAATTCTGTGTACATTTAGCGATCGTTGTTAGGCTATTCTCTTTCCCATAGCGTAAACACCACGTGCAAGTGAAAAGCCCTTCGTGAATCGTATATCTAAACCCCAACATGCTGATTTTCTGTATCCTCATTACGTATCAACTGTGTACGAGCCGTTATTTCGTAGTCGTTCTTAGAACTCCCCGTGTATTGAATACGTAATCGGAGAAAGGATTTATTGGACAATTGAACTGACGCTAGGCGACCATGAATTTATTGATTAGTCGTACTATATTTTGTATATTACAAATTGTGCTTTGTGAATTTAGAACGCTGAACTTTTTTTTTTTCATCTAATAGATGGGGAGGATAGGTTGCATAAAGATAATCGATTGATACATATCTAACTTAACGAACTATACACGTATATTCAGGGTGAACCCTTTTCGTAGCGTGTGGGGTGTGGGGTGTGAGGGTAGAGGGTTGGGGGAGGATACTTTGTTAATTTCGTTTCGATATAGCACGAAATTCTGAGAATACTCTTTCTCTATATATTTTACATTATATTATTTAATTTATATTTCAAATATATGTATTAATTATAATTATAATTATAATTAATAAAAGTTTAGTACACGTTGTAACGAGATATTCTACAAAACTTGAAAGTAATATTACAAAAGTCGGTGCAACGATTAATTTTTTTTTATAATAAATATATCTTCATTAAAAACTAGATAGAGATAAGTATTTTATCTATAATATAATAGAATTATAATGCGACTTTTTAATTACTATAATTAATAGAACTTTTCATTATAGTTTCTAACGTCAATTTTGTAATATTTTTTTCTTTTTCGTTCGTATCATCGAACAAATTTTTGAATTTCGTATAACTTTGTTTATAGTTTGATAGCGTCTTAAATTATACATGATTAATAAAAAGAAAAAGAAAAAGTAGAACCAATTAATTTCATATAATATTGTGAACAATATTTTGTTTACATATAATGATCAATATTTTAATACAGAATACATTATATACCCCATATATATATATATATTTATATTATTTCTCATAAGATAGAGTAAATGTTAACTGTGTTATAGGAAAATTGTGATTCGCACATACTTTCTAAAAAAATAGATTCCATATTAAAAGAAAAAAAAATAAAACTTATAGTATGTAGCAATAATTAGTTCCTTATATACAAAAGTACCTGGTAGTGGTGGTTGTGGTGGTAGTGGTAGAGGTTTAATTGAACATTTTATTATAAGCGTTACACTTTCTCTAGGATTAATAGCTCAGATCTAGTATAATTTTTTTTGTTAACTAGGATTACGAGTAAGTAAAAGTAATACGTATATGGTATATATATATATATATACATATGGTATCAAGTTAATTCAAAACCACGACAATAAACCTGCTGGTGTACTGCGGTATGAATAAATGTTCAATAGGGTCGATGAATGGCCAACATGCTGGCAACTCATATTACCATGAGCTCGAGTGTTTCGTGCTCAGGTACCTCTGACGAATCAGCGAAATTCAAGTAGACACCTTTAATAGTAAAAGCTATATAGACTTTCATGAGGGAAATTATGGTCGTAAGATATTCGTGACATTGTTAGAAATTAAACAACAGTTACTTTTCATTTATAATAACACCATGATTCTTCTTATTATTAATTCTATACGTATAAGTACCCTCGTTGACTATTTTTGATTAGAATAATATTTTTTCTTTTTCTTTTTTTCCATACGATCCGTTATATTAATATTTTTCTTTTGTATTCTTTATTATTCGAGTTATATATATATATATATATATATAGATAAATTCGAACTATATTTGATTCAATTAATGAATTACAGTGTATCACTAAGAACAATTTTAATTCGTTTGACGTATGAAGAATGAACATTATTCTCTTTTATGTTAATAAATCGATACAATTAGCTCCTGACGTATATTCATTTAACCGTACATTCTCATTGGCGGTGCTAAACGTTAAAATCAATGCGTATGTGTTGATAGTCTCTGCCCTTTTCGTTTACAACAAAAGTACGATCCCGGGCAAATCGATCTTTTCAAAGCAACGGGGGTAGTAATACGAAGAACGTAGAAGATATTTCTTCTACGTATTTGTGTTCTCACCTTGACCTGATTTTTTGTCTTTTTTGTCTTTTTTGTCTTTTTTATATATCTATATTTGTTTTCCTTCCTTTAGAAATAGTGCTGCGACAAATGGAACGAAGGATAATTAACTCTTTCTAGCTTTTCTATGATAGTTGATTAAAATGAAGAAATTAAGGAGAATTTTTATTTTATGATTTATTTCAAATTGAAATTATTCAATTCAATTTCTTCTATTTCGTTTGATTCTTATTATTAATATCATTGATAATATCATAATATAACTGTTATTATTATATGTATACTATACTATAAATAATAATACAATATTAATATTTAATTTTGAATGATATGGAATGTAAGTTAGTTTACTTTTATACAAAATGGAACAAAAGAAATAAAGCAAAGTTGTGTGTGTGTGTTTTTTTTTAAATTAATATCGATAACGCAGAAATACAATATTATTTGATAAGAAATAAAACATATAAATCAGATCCTTTGACGTAGTATACAATTCGCTTTGAATACGATGATGATTGATCGAAATGTTCGTGATGATGAAATCTTTTTGTTTTATTTTCTTATCGATCGATCGGGAGTACGTTTGTCGTTTGAAAATGTTTATAAGAGCACAACCTCGACCTTTATTATATACTTCGTCATTTATACGTTCCATTTATTCAGCAACGTATCGATATCGTACGATCTTTTTTAAAATTAATATTTTATTTCCTTCTTCTTATTATTCGATATGTGTTCTAAGTTTTTATTTATTATCTAAACATTATTATATGTTTTTTATACAAATCTTTCATTTAACGTATTATATTAGTATCCTTTATCTATTTATACAGAATGTATCCAAATAAATGAGAAATATTTTCAATTAAATTTAAACGAGAAAATAAGTTCATTTCTAATACATTTAAATAATATTGAATTTTATTTTCGAATTTCACAGAATAGATTTGATTCTAACAAATGTTATCTGCTTACTTTCATAAGAGATATTTGAAATGACCTTTTACCATCTGAATACTATTCTGCAAACATCCAACCAATAGATTCTCTCTTATTCTCTTTATATATATATATATTCAAATTGTATTCAAATTTTGTTGTTAGAAAATTTCACTCACACAATTCGTTAGAAATTATTTCATTAATTTATAATATAGTTTCTACATAGATCTAACAAATGTTTTCCATTTTTGATTAATTTCCCAGTGACGTGTGTAAGGGCTTTTGAAAACCTATGACTAATATGTTTATATGAACTTTATTTGATCGTTTAGAACCGTGGTTCTCAACATTATGATACACGCTTATATAGAATTTGATTTTTTCATTGAATAATTCGACACGAATAACGAGAAATGTAATTTTTTAATAATACGAATTATTATACAGGTTGATTAAAAAAACAAAAAAAACATTACAATTTTATAGATATAGTATGATAAAATAAAATAAAAGGGTTGGGAAGCACTGGTTTTTATATTCTTAAGTACCTACTACCACCCCCTCTTCTGTAAAATATTTCCGATTTATTTTGATTGTGAGATAGCACTGTGGTGTATAAGATGAACATTTTCTTGATTACTTACTTAACATATTTATGAACTGTTGTATCAATTTGCAGATTTGACGACGGACACGATGGTTATCTCGATTTAAATGAATTGAAACGCATGATGGAAGTTTTAGGAGCACCTCAAACTCATCTCGGTTTAAAGGCAATGATACACGAGGTTGACGAAGATGGTGATGGACGTATATCCTTTCGCGAGGTATATTAAAGATATTTATATTTAAATAATAATTATGTACCCCCTCTTCTCCCCACCACCACCACGACATTTTCATTATTTTATTATTATATAAAAAATGGGCACTTTTTAAGAAATCAAATATTAACTGGTCTTTTTTTAACTAGCATTTTTTTTTTTTTTTTAATGGACTAACACCACTTTGTAAATAAACGTAGGGATCTATTTCTCGTTAGATTTCATTGAAATAATTTGTTAATAATTATCCAAATTGTTACAGTTTCTCCTAATCTATCGTAAAGCACATGCTGGTGAATTGGAACAGGATTCTGGATTAGGACAATTGGCTCGTCTGACCGAGGTTGACGTGGATGAGGTCGGTGTATCTGGTGCCAAAAACTTTTTCGAAGCTAAGGTATACATATTAATCTATATTGTTCTGTTTTGTAACAATATGATGAAAAAGAAAATGAAAGAGAGAGAGAGAGAGAGAAAAAAAGAACAGAAAGTAATTGTATGGAAAAAGTAAACTTCATCATCAAAACTTTTAGAAAACATTCTTTTAACACCAGATTTATGGATGTTTTGTTTATTATATATTAATATTTCTACCGCCCCTCGCGCGTCAATCGTTGATGTATAGTAATCAAATTTTTAATGAATGAAATTGGCTCACAGTCCATAAATCTAACGTTAAGATTATTTCTCAACGTTTAATAATAATTATTATTATTAATATTTTTTCTTTTTTCTTTTTAATTTATATTCGCAGATTGAACAGCTTCGTAAATCAAGTAAATTTGAAGACGAAATTCGTATGGAACAAGAGGAAAGAAAACGTGAAGAAGCCGAAAGGGCAGAAAGACGCGCACAGTTTAGGGAAAAAGCTGCGATATTTAGTAATAATTAAGAAAAAAAAAAAAAAAAGAGAAACAAAGAAACACAGAAAGAAAGAAAGAAAGAGAGAGAGAGAGAGAGAGAGAGAGAGAGAAATAAAGAAAGATATATAGGATAGTACGAAAATTGATTATTTTTTTAGAAAATTGTTTAGATTTCATAATTAACGAGAGAATTTATATCATTTGAATTTAGATTTAATTTCATCAAAAGCACAATAGGAGAATAATTAATAATAATGAATCATTAAAAAAGGAAAAAAGGATTCCAATAGATGTATTGCAGATGATTATAGTGCTAATAAACGCATCGTTGTTTTAATAATCCTTTTTAATCGTAAACATTCTTTTTTTTATAATGATTTTATGAATCTCCATAGATTGGATTTTAATTGATTTAACTCTCAATGAAAGAATGTATAAAGACGTTTTAGTTTTTTAAAATAATTTTGACGATTATAAACAAATGTTAACATATATAACATATATTTTGACTAAAAGAAAAGTATATAACACCTCGAATAAAAAGGATTAATATGTTATATCAGTATCAGTAAAGATATATCAAAGATACTTATGTAATCAAAATCCTCTCGTTTTTGTTTTATAAAATATTATAAGTTATATATTATGTATACATTCAACAATTTTCGTATTCATATTAACGTTTATTATATATATTTTTTAAGTTATCTTTTAATAATTGCACAACTGCGTATTGAAAAAAAAAAGAAATAATAATAATAATAGTAATAATAATAATAATTCATTACGTTCATTTTAAATTGAAAACTTTTATTTTGTAACAAGAATTAATCATTGATATTACCAAATCGAATTTGTGACAAACTCGTGTTCGCATTATTACTTTATGTCTTATTTAATTTTTGTATTATTGTTAATTTTAACATTTAAACAATTGACGAGACATTAAAAAATGTATGTGTTAAACGGTGGAAGAAAATTGCAACTATTTTCTGTTCTAGTCATGCATTTATCTTGAGAAAAAGAAAAACAAAGAAAACAAAAATATATATATATATATATTTTTAATAACAATTCGATCTAATAGAATTTCTTATGCTATACAGAGCTATGCAAACCCCATATAGATAATAGCATTAAGTAAAAAGTTTGTATATTATTTTTTTTTTTTTTTTTTTTTTAGGAGTTTCTCTCTCTCCTTGCATGGGTGGGAGTAAAATGCGTCTTTTGTGTCATAGATATTTTAAAATATATTATAAATTCAATGATTTTATTATTATGTACTTAACATAATTGTAAAAAAAAATAATTAATTAAGCATTATACATGTTAATCTATCGTTTTTATAATTACATCGAATTTGTTGTTATTTATTTTTTTAATTATTTTCTTTTTGTTTTTTTTTTTTTTAACAGTCCTCACTATGCAAATAGAATAACACCCTTATTTCCAGATTTTCTTAATATTTTTATTTTATTTATTTTTATAGGGAAAAGAGGAGATTAACTTTGTTTTCGTTTCTTTTTCATAGAAGAAATAAAAAAAGAAATCTCATTGAAATGCATAATAACAAATTCGTAATTAGCGCCACCGACCACTAATTAAAGATAAAATTAGCGTAGTATTCAAGTGTTAAAAAAGAAGAAATAAGTGCTACATTCGTACGCATACAATTAACGTAGTTTTTTAATTCGTGCTTTTTTTTTTTTTTTAACATAATTGTTACCAAAAATTGTTATCGTTAAAAAGATCATTATTATTGAAGAATAAGTCAAAGGTGAGTAACACTTTACTCCCTTTATTTTTAATATTCTAATTATAATAGTTTAATGTGTCTAAATGTAAATATTAATAAACGCAATAAATCAAACAATTTAAAGCAATTGAAATAAAATATATGAAGTATAGAATGAAAATGTATTATTTTCATAATTATTAATTATTCATTTAAAATTGCATAGAATTTTGTTAAAATATTAACAACATTTTTATTGTCAAATCTCTAATCGAAATATTCTAAAAAAATATAATATTGTTATCTATTATAAGATAATTATTATCATTATTTGAACACACAACGTTATCTATCGATTAAAGTATCTACAGAGTTACAAGGTATTTGTAGATGGCGTTAGTTGCCGGGCATACAATGTTTTTCATTAGTAATATGTTAGGTTATCAATGATAGGTCTAGTAGTTATAAGTTTGCTTAAATTTCATTGTTGATTGATAATGTTTATTATATTTATTGATTGTGCAATGGTGATCAGATTGTACAGTGTACATTTTTACCATTATGAGTTTCTTCTTTGATTTTGTTATAAATGTATTTGTTAGGATGTTGGAACTTGTATGGTTTGGCAAAAAGAAAATTAGCAATTCATTAAGTATATATATTAAAACAAATACTGGAAATACTTTATCGGTGAATTTAGATCCTAAATGGGATATTAAAAATGTTAAAGAAATATTAGCACCCCAAATGGGTATGGCACCGGAGGATATTAAAATTATTTTTGCTGGTAAAGAATTACATAATTCAACAGTAATAGAGGTATATGAATATTAATATGTGTTACAATCTACAAGATATTATAATATATCTTATTATCTCTTATTTAGAAAATATTTATATATGTTATTGTTGATAGGAATGCGATTTAGGTCAACAAAGTATTCTTCACGCTGTTCAAAATCGTCATCAAAAACTTAATAAGAGTATCAATTCTGTAAATACTATTGAAGAGGTAACAACGGAAGGATCTGATTATGATTCGACACTTAATAGTAGTGGAAGTAAACCTATGAACGAAACCCTTACAGATTTGCCATTAGACGAAACAAATCAAACTAATTCTTCTATCGATGGTTAGTATTACAATGTATATTTTATATTTATTATAATCTCATTGAAATAATAACTATAATTGTATTATGTTATTACCATGATATTATTTGATAATTAGAACAACGAGAAACTCGAGCACACTTTTATGTATATTGTTCAAAACCATGCAAAGCTGTAACTACTGGAAAATTAAGAGTGAAATGTGCATCGTGTGGCAGCGGTGCTGTTACAGTCGATAGAGATCCGCAATGTTGGCCAGACGTTTTACATCCTAAAAGAATAACGGTTCATTGCGAAAATGAGTTATGCGAGCCATCGGTATCTTCTAATGCGGAAACAGAATTACAAGTTTTATATGCTCAATTTTTTTTCAAATGTGCAAATCATATTAGTTTAGGTGAAGACGACCAGGCAGTACCACTTTATTATATCAAGCCAAATTCCATGAGCATACCTTGTCTTGCGTGTACAGATATAAGGTACATCGAGAACATTAGATAATAATTAAAAAGAAACGTTTCAATATTTCATTTTGAATTACCAATATACCAATAGGGATACCGTATTGGTTTTTCCTTGCGAAGGAGCTCACGTAACTTGCTTAGATTGCTTTAAAGAATATTGTTCTGTACGTTTACGTGAACGTCAATTTCAATTTGACACGACCAAAGGTTATTATACTCTTCCCTGTCCAGCAGGATGTCCCAATTCTTTTATTACAGAAGTCCATCATTTTCATCTTCTTAATCCACAACAGGTACACATTATCTCAAGAAAATAAACAAAACTAGATGACATATAAGTTAAGACAAATGATTGAAAAATACATATTAATATTTAGTATGAACAATATCAACGATTTGGTACAGAGGAATATGTTTTACGGGAGGGTGGATTTCTTTGTCCAAGACCAAATTGTGGTATGGGTATAATACCACCATCTATAGAAGATGGTGCGAATGAAGAAGAATGCCGTAAAATTCAATGTTTCGCTGGTTGTGGTGTAAGCCAATACATGAATTAGATTTTTAATGGAATAGCTTATATATAATAGTTATTTTTATACTAAGAACACAATTATTACATGAAATATATATTATTTATACTGTACTTGTACTTGTAATTTACAGTACGTATTCTGCAGAAGATGTTTACAAGGATTTCATATGGGAGAATGCGAATTACAATCATCTGAAGCATCTAATAGTAAATCTGTATTTAATGGCTACACCATTGATCCCCAAAAGGCTAAAGATGTATTTACATAATTATTATTTTTTTAAAAGATATGATTACGTAATATTGCAAGAATCTTATGCATAACTTTTATTTTAGGCTAAATGGGATGAAGCTAGTAAAAAGACTATACAAATATTAACTAAACCGTGTCCAAAATGTAGAACACCTACTGAAAGAGATGGTATTATTTATTATCATTTCGGAATCATTTTCAATTCAATTAATCTCCATTATATTTATTCCCAATGAATCCCCCGATAATTATTATTTCTTTAGGTGGATGTATGCACATGGTGTGTACACGAGCCGGATGTGGTTTTCAATGGTGTTGGGTATGTCAAACTGAATGGACGAGAGATTGTATGGGTAGTCATTGGTTCGGATAAATAAAAATATACATTAATTGACATATATTCTGTATACGAAAAACGAAATACTTTATATACTGAAAATATTTTTTGAATAAAATAATGAATCAGGAAACAATATGTCTCTCGTTAAACTTTATACAGAATACTCTGTATATGTAATAATAATTTTGTAGGAATAAATTTCATTTAATATTTCATCTCCTAGCGAGTTGTAACGTAGTAAAGTATAGCATATCGTTCCTAAGCAACAAGGTATTAATACCCGAATCCTTATAGTTTAGCGGCAGTTTTTCAGAAACGTATTAATACCTTTATTAACGATAATGCGTTAAAACATTAATTTCGATTGTACATAATACAAAAGTAAATCAAATTGCTGTTGTTTGAGGAGCTGGTGGTGGTGTTAAAGGTGTCCAAGCGTTAGTCTGTTGATCGGTATTGGCCAATTGGCTGTTTTGTCTATGATGATTGTGACGATCTATCACCACAGCCAAGCATCTACGTTCGTCATCTGATTGTACGGTATTTAAAGTTTCGACAGATTGGTTTGAACAAACGCCAGATACATGATGATGTTCCTTAGAGTGATCGTCGTATTCTCCTGCATTTGCTGATGTTGTTTCATTTTGTGTAAGTGGTTGAAGATGCAACATTTGCATATTGTGTTGATGCTGTTGTTTGTGTAGATGTTGATCAGGTGTAGTTGATTGTACTGGAGATACAGGTGCATGATGATATTCATGAACCGAATATTCAGTTTGATTGGCGGATGATATTGTCTCGTTATCTGTTTGATGTAAAACGTGATGTAATCCGCCATGTGATACGGTAGTATAAGGTGGCATCTGATGATGTAGATGTAAATTCAAATTTAAATAAGATTGTTGTTGTTGTTGGTGTTGTTGGTGTTGCTGTTGTTGTTGATGATGTTGCTGTTGTTGATCTGACAAAGCCATTGAGTGTATCCAAGCGGACGAATCCGAATTATGTGAATGATCCTGCGACATTGAATTACATGGTAAACTAGCTGGAACGTAAAGTGTACATCCTGTAACACTCGTCGGTGTCATAGTTCCAACTACAGTTCGGGCTAACGTAGGATGAGAGGAAGAAGTTGGCGAGGGTGACGGTGAAGTTGCCCATTCTTGCGAAGGTGGTGGTGGTGGTGGTGGTATACATGCCGGATTTAAACTTTGTAAAGATTCGGGACTACGTGGTGACCAACTGGATGGTGTCACGTAGGTAGTTGAATGTAAAAGTGGTACCGCTCCATATGGGTCTAAATGTTCCTCTATAATACGAATAAAAAATATCATTTAATATTTACCTATTTGTATTATTTATAATAAAATTGAATGAATTTATTACCAACCATCTTGAGCATATTTGTGTCTCAAAGAATACGGCGTCATCCTGCGTCCACCAGTAGATACGGTGTAAGAATGAGTTAGATGATTGTTAACGACGTTTTGCGTTTGATTTTGTGGTGCCATTATACCGGACGTTGTACTATACTCGCATCCCATAGTTGGTTGTGGTATGAACCAAGCACTAGAGTCTACATTTTTTCATATAACAATGTTATATTTTTGAAATACTATATTTCTTATTATATTATTTATATTAAACTCACATTGAGGATACGTTTGAGTATCCGTTGGTCTTTCCTTAGCATCCAAGAATGCTTTAGCAAATGGATTATACTTGATCTTCAAACTGGTAACTTCTTCGTTTTGATATGCCGTTACTGCTATGAATTGTGTTTCAGGAAAACGATAAGTGAGAACCTATATGGGATAATAGGAATTCTTTCGATAAATATATTTGTTATTTTTATATATATATATATCTTTTTTTTTTCAATACGTCATTCCAACTTGGATATGACTCTTAATGTTAGTCAGAAACTCTTATTTGCACTTTATTACGTTACACATCTTTCTTCATTTTATTTTCTTCCTTTGCTGACGTTTAAATAACATTTACATAGAAACGCATGTATATATAAATTGACAAAACATATTTGTTGTATGTACCGAAACCGTAATGCAAACTATTTCTCGTGAAATAAAATGTATATAACAGTAGAGTATCGTAAAATAATAATTGTTTGTAAAACATTGCTTACAGTTCTCTGTTCTTCGGCACCAACTCGAACCAGATGCACCCGTGGTTCGTATTTGTGTAGAGAATTTAACATAATCTGTCCGTTACCGTTAGCCTTGTTGGTCAGTTTCACCTTGGCAAAAGATATAGCTTCTTTCATCCAGTGTGCACCAAAATTTGGACTCTCTGGATGAACGTAAATCGGATTTGGAGGTGCGATTTCTGCTTTTCCACCGGGAACCCACTCACCGTTTACGTATTTCCATCTATTATTATGTAAAATATTTTTTCTCCTTTTTTACAATTAATATATAAATCTTACATATTATAATATATAAATGGTATTACGAAATACTAATGCCAGAAACAAATATTTATTATATATAAAAAATAATATAACATAATACTAATCTGAAGAATATTCTTACCTATGAGGATCTACCTGTACAAATTCAAGCAAAAGAGTGTACATGGCCGCCGGTTCTAAACCCTGTGCTAATACTTTAACCACCGGAAACATTCGTCTAGAATAAAAACCAAAATTCATTTTTCATTTACAATTAGATTTAAGTTCGTCAATATTGTTTTTTTACATAGAAAAAATATAATATTTTTCTCGTGTAAGAATAGAATATTAAATATACGGTGGTGTTAGTTGCAAGAAAACAAATATGCTAGGTATTATTATTATTATTAGACTCAATTAGTTCAATTTGCAACTTTGTGTTCTATTTCTTGCATAGTTCGTCTTTGTCTTTTTTTCTTTTCTTTTTTTTTTTCCACGTACCATGTCCTTACATTTAATTAAGATAATAATAATAATTATTATTATTATTATTTATTACGAATTATTTTTATTTTAATAATATTTTACAAGATAAAATGAAGGAGAAGAAAAATAAATAAATAAAGAAAAGAAAAGAAAAGAAAAGAATAGAAAGAAAGAAAGAAAAAAGAAATATTACAGAAATTCTTAGATCTTACATTTCTCATCGTGTATTATTATTATTTTTTTTTCTTTGTTAGTATAGATTCTAAAATCGTTGTTCGACAACTCTTTTTTTTTTTAGAAGACAGTCCCGTCGGCAAAACCTTAAAAGATGCAGGTGTGTGTTGCTTTTGGGAAACTCCGACAACGTGTCTCGAAAATGTTTTACGTTTAGAAAAAGAAGAAGAAGAAGAAGAAGAATAATCGTGAGTATCATAAAGTTTTATTACACGATACAATATTATACATCTTTATTCTTCAACCAAATTATGCGTTTCTTTTCATTGGATATATTTTTTTTGCTTCTTTTCCTTTTTTCTTTATTAGTCGCACGTGCCTATCTTACTTGATTTTGATTATCGAAATACCATGATTTCAAACATAAGAATCGATGATACATCGAAACATGATTACAATGTTTCTTTTTTTAAGACATTGACATTTTTCAATATTTTGCGCTACTAAAGTGGATTTTCATTCGTACGAACACTATTGCAATGACAGAAATATTTTGGAAATTTCTCTGATATAAATTACATTCTATAATTCATTTTTCGATAATCAAAAATGAGTAGTATAATCATACTATATTAACTGACGGTTTTAATAAACAAAAATACAAAAAAAAAAAGTGTGTTCATCATCGATCATTGATCATCATCGATCATCCTTACCTTCCATTTTTCGTGACGATCATTTCATTAGTAATACATTGAAATCTAGTCCATAATTCTCTGTCCTCTAACGAAAGTGACAATGGCAAATTTTGACTGGACGATAACGAATTAACGCAAATATTTTGTCTCGACAAGGTATCCCGATCATCGTTGTTACATTTTTTATTATTATCCTTAGAATTTGTTCTTAATTGTTCAACGTCATTGTTATCACGTTCTAATTCGTGTTCATTATCGTTATCTTGTTGTTCCTGTACCCTGTTGTGTCGTTCCTTTTCACGACAATTCGAACGTACCGAAGTAACTCCAACGAGATTATTATTACCAGGTTGCATCTTTACTCCCTTTTTTTTTTTATCTTTTTACCCTCTCTCTTTTCGTTTAATCAAATTCACGCTTCCCCCTTTCCTTAAAATTCACGAATACAAAATTCAAATAAACGGAAGAAATAAATGGAAATTAGATAAACTGATATAACGAAAAATCATTTGAAATGGCAATAATTTGTTAGATGTATGGATAGAAAAAGAAAAGAAAACAAAAGGTAGAGGGAGTGGAGAACGTTGAACGCGGATGTCGTCGTTGTCGTTGTCGTCGTCGTCGTCGTCGTCGATTGTCGTAGTTGATCGTCGGCACCTAGCAACACCAGGTATCTTCTGAACTATCTTTTTAGAAATAACCACCGCACCAACACCCTCCTGTAGTGGAGGTAAAGAGAGAAACTCGTAACACTTGGTCGCGATATTTCACACTATCCGGCGAAGACGAAACTAAGACTGATGACGAGCTACGACACCTCTCAGTTTCTCCTCAAAAACGACCTTTCCTTCTTCTATATCTTTTCTCTCTCTCTCTATCTCTCTTTTTAGAGAGAGAACAGACAGAAGGTGGTCTGTCGGGTTTCTTAAAAGAAGAAACGTTACTACCATCCATCCATCCTCTTTTCTTGGCTGACCAACTCCGTTAAGGTGTTCCTTTAGGGTGCTAATTAAAAGACAGGAATTACAAAGAGTCTAACCCCAGCACCCCCCGTCCCCACCCTTCCCCTTTCCCTACCCTCACCAAGCATCCCCTCCCCAACCCCAACTACTACCTCCAACATCAACAACATACAACTGTTATTTTCCGTTCTTTTTTTATTACAACAGGTAAAAACATGGCAGTTGCTCTACACGTTCATTCTGCATTGGCTGTTATCTTTTACAAATTATTCGGTGAAACTCGAAAGAAACGATATTACTGGTTACCATCTCCACCTAAGCCGTTCAAGGACGTTACTTGTTACCGCCTCTAATTCTACCTGTTAGCCAATTGTCGTTCGACTACGCGCTACCATTTATCCGCCATCATGAATTGTGGAACTTATATTCGTATCGTATTTAAGTTTTTACGGTGGAGTTTAGTCAAAGTCCGCCTATCATCATCATCCTCATCATCATCATCATCATCATCATCATCCTCCTCCTCATGATCATCATCATCATCATCATCAGTTTTGAACGATCTCGTTTCAAGTTTATTCATTGAATAAGAAGAACGTTTTTATTGTACAATGTTGTTTACATATAAAGTGTTTAAACGTTATTTTATATGTTCATTGGTTTAATGTTAAGAGGGTGTTTTTCTGTGAATTCTGATAAATAACATTTTTCGATCATTGTGGGACTCTTCCATTATTTCGAAAGATACTTATTAACCGTTTGTTAGCTTGTTTCGAGTTTTTGATTGCGAGAAGTCAACAACAAGGTAAGCCACCAAAAAAGCGATGTGGAATTTTTCGAAGTCTGAACATTTTCATCTTAAATTAGTAAAATCAACAGAAATTGTACGACTCGTAAGAATCGGCTTTTTTTCTTCTTTACTGGTCAGAAACATTTGACCAGGAAGACCGTTTTTTTGTTTGTTGTATCTCGGTACCGTGTGATTTATTTGTGTTCAATGTGTGAGATCTTCTACAAATTCATGTCGTTGGTAAATTTAAAGAAAGTTTTCTAATTTCTATATATCCATTTCTATTTTTAATATTCATACGTGTGATATTTTATTTGATAAAATAATACAAATAAAATTGAAAGAACGCATATACCGTATACATGGTAGTATACTAATTCAATGTTGAATTTAGATTAATGTTTACTTTTTTTCTAAATCTTTTGAAAGCACAACCACTCGCGATCTTTCTGGCTGTTTCAACCCGGTGGCAAAGGTAATAAAACTTTTTAGAGTTTCCTCGTGATGCGTTAGATGAATCATGGAGGTTTATAGCAGGTTGTCTTTCATGTATATACAATATAATACAGCTACCTGCCTACAGTTAGGTAGCTTGCACCTTTCTTCTTTTTTTTTCTTTCCTTCTTTCTTTCTTTTAGATTAGAAAAAGAAAAAAACCATTCATTTAATTTTTATCACGTTTGTCGGTGGTTTACCCCCATAGAGGTTCTAAGCTTTTCTACCATTGGTCTTTTCATAAAATTTCTTTATTAATAGTTTCTATAAATATCTATATGTATATGGGACCTTTTATTTCATTGTTTACAAATCGTATATTTTTTACAGTTTTATTTTGTAAATCAAACAAATGCAATAATGAAAAATACGGGAATAGATTTTTTTTATAATATTGTTTCAACGGCTGTTTGAACATGTTTTTTTCTTTTTTTTCTTTTCAACCTATACATTTAAAAAGATTAAAACCTTTCAAGAAGGTTTTATTAGGCTAGTATTTATTTTAGATCTTTTTTTTTGATAAGGAAACAAATAAGAATAAATTGAATCAACACTAAACTTACTTAATCTTGATCGAACAATTTCAAAAAAAAAAAAAAAATAAAAAAGAAAATCTGACCCAATTTTTGCCAAACATTGGATAAAAAAAAAGAAAATTCATTCCATTGATGAAAAATAAGTCTACGTGCCGACGGGTTGTTTAAATTTCGATAAATTTTTATAAAACGAAATATATAATATAAATCTTTTATATAATATAATTCAGTAAAAATAAAAAAAGAAATTTTGTACAACCCTATTGGATCACCTACAATTATTTTTTTGCAAATTTTTGACATTGCGATCAAAACTAACTTTCCTCCTATCACACATTTTATTTTTTAATTATTATTATAATTTTTTTTACTCTTTTAAAATAATAAAACATTGTCTTTTTATAATAGAATGCAATTAAATTCGATATATTGTCGAACCATTCGCAAAAAAAAAAACAAAATAATAAAACGCATCTTTGATAATAATCTCATTGACAAATTATTATTATTTTTATTTTTATTATTATTATTATTATTATTTTTTTAAAGTATTAAGGAAAAATATAAATTTTAATTTGACGATGAAATATTATTTAATATTGAGAAAAATCCTGATTATAGAAATGAATTTAATTTTTGGAACATTTAGGGGTGGATGATTCTTTACGATTATTATCGTAATGATAAGGGTGATTATTTTCATTGAACTTGATATTATCATCATTACTATTATTATGATTACTATTATTATCCTCATCTTCTTCAATGTAACTACTGCTATTGTCATCGCTATTATCCGTATCAATTAAAATATAGTTTTTATCATCCATGTGATCATCTTCTTCGTTAATCAATATACAACATTTTCCATTATAACGATGAAGTATAGTTTCGATATTCGATAAACTAGCGACTGTTGTTGTTGTTGTTGTTGAATTCTTTGGAAAATCTTCTACTTCTTTGGCATGATGAACACATTCAGATGGCCTTGTACATATCTGTATATAAGTTTTAGAAATTTTACTTACGTTATTAACATTGAATTTTTAATTGTTTGACACTCGTCAAAAGTCATTCATTAATTCAAGTATTTCATTAGGTTTTATATTTATTACTTTTAAATAATTGGGGAATAATTATTTCAAGAATTTTTATATTGTATACCTTTCACGATAACATATATATATATATTATATAATATTACCAATATAAAAAAGTAATTCTGTTTTATTTTATATTTTAAATAATTGGTATAGTTATTGCAAGAACTAACAGATTTTATACTTTCATAGTGTGTTATATATATATATATATGTATTATTATATTAATATTATCGATATAAAAAGAAAGGGGGGTACTTACTGTGTTACCATTAGAAAATTTGGCAATTTTATTCCCAGTTTGTTTAGCAAACCAATAATAATAGTCATCATTAACCGTCCTTGAATATAATTCATTATGTTTTTTCGTATCGTCGATCACCTCGGTTGTTTTAAAGATGTTTGGACATGCCATAGGAATAGGAAAAATTCTTGGAACGGATACATATCTTTCTGGAATCTATGGTTGGGGACAAACAAAACAAAATAAAATAAAATATAATATATATACGTATATAATATAAAAAAAAAAAAACGCATATTTCATAATACTTTGTTCTCTTTACTGTCGCACGGAGGACACGCGTATTCATCACATTCTTTCTTACAACAACTGTACATAATGTTCCATTTATAATAAAAGTATTTTTTTGTTTTTTTTTTTTTTTTTTGATCTTTCGAATTGCGGCGTATTCTCGCACGAAATGCATCATTCATATCGATAATTAATTAATTAAATTATTAATAATTACGGAGCCAAAAAATTATTTCACCTATTTTTTTCAACCATATGGCTTGTTGTTGTTTTTTTTTCTTTTTTTATTCTTTCGTTGTGTGCACGCACACTTATACCCACATACATACACGCACATACACTCGTCGCACATGCCTGCATTCATACATACATATACATACATATTTTTTGTTAATCTTCTTCAAACTTAGGACTTCTCGCGATTAATTTGTTCGTATTTATTATTATTATTATTTTTTTTGTTTAAACAAATTCATTTTACGCGTCATATTGTATGTTTTTCTATTATTTTTTTTTTCTTTTCCTCTTCCAAAAAGAAATAGACAAATGAATAGTCATATAAAATTGCATTACCAATCATCATCCCATATACAGTGACGAATGAAATCAAGTAAGGCACCACCCACTCTAAAAAAAAACTTAACAGTAATGTTAATAAACTAATAAAGAAAAATAATCGAAAATATGAAAACAGAATCATGAGAAATAAAACGAAACGTCATTTTCCACCGGATCTAATAAAAAAAAACAAGATTTTCAAATCTTGGGATCCTTTTTTGGTATTTCGGGGCCTTACGTGAACGTTTAATTCGTCACTGGTAATACAATCGTTTCAATCATTTCCATTTACAAATATTTGCAGTCTTATTGTTGCAACACACATCCTCTTGCCTTTTAATAATAATTTTGTTGTTGTTGTTGTTGTCGTTTATATCATTTCTATATTAAATATTATAATTTTAAATATAATGAAAATATTTTGTAGAAATGATTATATCAAAACTGTATTCATCAGGTTATACAAGATTGAATGATGAAAAATTTATAAACTTTTATGCTACCTTCCCCCACTCTCTCGCCAAAATCCCACTTCTACTCCTATCCCAAACATATTTTCCTATCATTTTAACTTTTGTTCGTTGTTTAGATATAATTTGTTGTTTTCTTTTTTTTTTTGTCTTTTCAATTACACATTATGCAATTAACAAATTAATTTCCAATATTAAAATAATTATGCGACAAGTTAATGATAAGCCGATATTTAGTTAAACAAATTCGATATGTTTTGTCTGTGTGTGTGTGTATTAATTATTACTTCCAATAATTTATGTTGTTTTCTATTTCGTCAGTTCTTTTCAATATCATTCTTTGTCTCTCTCTCTCTTTCCCAATAAAAAAAAAGAAAGAAATAAGAAATTAAAACAAAATAAAATAAAAAATATAAGTAAAATAAACGATAATAACGATTTTTATGTTAACACACTATCGGCGGGTCGTGTATTAATACGTTTTATACAGAACGTAAGTTAAGTTTCAGCAAAACACTTACTAATGTTTGTTTTTTGAAGAAAAACTAATAATTTGATGAAATGTGCTATTTTGACACTGCAAGTTTTGTGCAGTTTTTCAGCTGCATTCAGTTTTTCATGGAGCTATTATTCAAATTTCATTGAAATGCCTACTATTAGATGTGAAGATATAACATGTTTTCGAAAAAGTGCACTGCTTTCATATTTCGCTCATTTTCGCCCGCTACAGGAGTGAGTCAAACTCACAACGTTCCCACCGATAGTGTGTTAAAATATTCTCGCAACGTTGTCTCTACTTTCTCTTTCATTAATACCACATATTCTGTAACTATATCTGTTTATTTTATTTCTTCCCACCTATTATAATACGCATGAATCTGAACACAGCTGCTGCGATATCTTTCTTCTTTCATTTTTCATTTATACGTTTCATCTTATTTGAATAAAAAAAGAAAAAAGAAAAATCGTTTTGAAAAAAAAAAAAATTATAATAAAATAAAATAATAATAATATTAATAATAAAAATGTATGACGTATGTTCCTCGTATGTAGACAATTGTCAGATTAATCTATCAATAAATATGGTTTTTTTTTCCTATCGAATCGATCATGGTCACTACTTACAATGATTATTTATCATTAATTAGGAGAAATGTAGTTTTGCGGAATAAGTAAAAGTCTTCTTTGTGTTGGTTTAGGTAAATCGATAGCGATAAATTATTTTCTCTCTCTCTCTTTCTCTCTCTCTCTCAGTGGCGGATCAAGTCACGTGGGAGTCCCAAAAGGGTTACAAATTTTTGGACCCTTTAACTTCAGTTAGAAGAATAAAATAAAGTATCAAGAAAGTTTCGGCGTTTTTAAATGATGACTTCAATCTCGTAATTTAAACCATCTGTCTTATAATAATTGTTTTAATAATAATTCTTTCAATGAAACATATATTTAAACAATAAAGTTAATTATTTATATTTTAAAAGTATCAATAGAATCAAGAAATTCATTATAAATTGATTTTGATTCTATTCTATTCAGTAAGGAAATGATCAACCAATGAAAAGACAATTCACCTGTTGCAAATGTATGTCCCCCCCAGTCGTATAACAATCATTTTACATAATTACACTATATTAAATGAACTTATTAAGAAAAAAAGAAAAATAATTTTCTTTGAACCTTCGGGGAGACTTATCGGGGCCTAACGAGATCGCTTAATCCGCCATTGATTTTATCTTAGGTTAAATTTGATTTCAGTTAAATCCGAATATCTTAACAAGGATTAGTTTGTCAAAAAGCACTTGGCCAATGTATGCTAATCGAATCTTCGAGCGATCGTGCGAACAGAATGAGAGAACGTTTTTTTTTTTTTGTTTCGTGCGACAATACGTGGGACCGCAAAGTGCGACGGTGAAACGTAAAATAAATGTTGTTCCTTGAATCCTTTTTTTTCTTTTTTTTTTTTGCTCTTCTTTTCTTTTTTCTTCTTTTTCTTCTTTTTTTCTTTCTTTTATATTCATTAATTTGGTCCCATTCTAGGTACAGGATATTATGCCCGACACGAATTTATTATTAGTTGCTTATTATATCTGTCATTTTTTTTTCTTCTCTCATGTTCGCAACGTCAGCGCGTAAATTGATCATCTTTTAATCGACCCTCTATATATTTTTTTGTTATTTTTTATTACTCATTCTTTTTCATTTTCATTTTCTTCTTTTTGATTTGATTCGCGCATTGATTACGTGCTCTCCCTTAATTTTATAATCCTATTGGATAAGCATACGTTCCGTCGGCTATTTTTATTTGTTTCTTTTTTTTACTTCTCTCTTTTTTCTTTTCAAAAAAAAAAAAAAAAAGAAAGAGAGAATATAAAAAAAATACCGTCAGAACTTGCAAGACGATAAGTCTTTCATCGATCGATCACCAAAGAGAATAATTCTATGTCTCTTTCCTAACGAAAGAATTATAAATATATACATATATATTTATACATATATATATATTTTTTTTTTTCAGTAATTTCTTTCCTCTGTAACATCGATAACCGAACATACAAATTGAATAATATAACGAGATCACATTTTTACACATATTAAAAGAATTGTTGAAATATATTACAATAAAATATTTAAAAAATATACACACATATAAAATAAATTAGAGAGAATAATTTTGTATATATATAAATGTACTTTACGTTAATAAATATACCAAACATATATTATAATATATATTATTAGTGTGTGTGTGTGTGTGTGTGATACGCGTTATATTATTCATTTTGTATAAACATAATAATATATGTACGTATTAAGTACATATACAACTGTATAAATAAATTGTGCCAATAATTATGACGGATGTACTAAATTCAACATAAAAAAGTAATTAAATACAAATATATCTCTTATCTTTTATGATTTATTTTTCTATTATTTATTATATTAATATTGTTAATATAAATCATAAATGAGAAATTTGTATCGAATTATGTTGATTTTAGTTCACCAATAATCCCATCCCTTTCCCATCTCAATTATCATAATTATCCGCACACTGTATTATCATTTTATTCATTTGATTAAGAAGGCTATTTATTTGTGCCATCATCATAATTATAATCATCTTAACGACGAACAACTATCATCACCATTATTAATCTCTCCTAATTATTATCATTATAATAATCTTCTTTTCTTTTTCTTTTTATTAGCACACATTGGCACATAGTTTTGTTGTTGTTGTTGTTTTATTGTTCTCGGACAAAATCCGAAATCTTCTTCTTCTTCTTCTTTTTTCTTTTTTTTCATTCTTTTAATGATCGATCGATTTTATCGACGGGAAGACGACCACTAAATACTTAACGAATAAATTTTGTCGCGATTATTTATCGCAACCTCTTTTGTTTATTTGTTTTTGTTTGATTGAATAATATACACTTATTAAATTTCACTACCTACAGGACCGACGTGCGGACTGTGCCAAGACGAAACAATGGTTTGTTGTCCGCAATAAGCATCGGTTGACATTAATGACAATGACGACAATGACGATGACGAAGAAGATGACGACGACGAGGATGACGATGAAGATGACAACGACGTTGGGAAAGTATTGACATTTGATTCAACGACGGCAACGTCAAAACTCGACGTTTCATTTGACGGTTCATTGTTTTCCACAATTTCACTTTTAAGTTTAACATCTTTGTCATCGAAGTTCGTTGAATTAGAATTTGAAGTTGTCGTTGTCGTTGTTGTTGTCGTCGTCATCATCGTCGTCATTATCATAGGTAAAACCGTGCCATTCATTTCCGACACGTTCATTATCATCCGACTTACGTCGTCTTTTTTATTATCCTCTTCTTCTATTACTTCGTTATTGTTATTGTTATTATTATTATKATTACTCTTCTCGCCAACCATGTTAGCAAAATATTCCGATCTCGAGAATTTTCCAATCTCCGTTGAACCAAATGCTTGATGAAATCCTGGCAAGGGTTGAGTTAAATTTGGTTTCTTAGATTCGAAACTCTCGGAGGAATTACGATCGTAATAATCCTTTTCTTGATCCCTTGGTCTTTTTGATGTCATCTACTGACATTAAAATAATACATTATTATTCAATAATAATCAAAATGTTTGCCCAATATGAAAATAATTGTTAAGTTTTGAGTCTAACATGAACAGGGTTAAAGTTCTGAGCCTAATGTGAGTAGAATTGAAAAGTATTGAACAAAGTGTTTAAGTTAAAACTGGTTTAACCATTTTTCGCCGTATTGAAAGGGTTAAACAATTGTATTCCTTTCTTTTATTTTCAAAAGTTCTACTTTACCGTCGCTGGAATTAATAATCCATTGAAAATCCTTGGACTTGACACGGGATTAGATTGCCATTTCATTTCTTTAACGATCTCACACTTTCTAGGCTGAATCATACTAGCCGATGTAGATGTTTCTACGGGTATCTGTAAACATTTTCAAATACACATCCCTAATTTATCTTTATTTCTTTAAATTCTTTTATTACAGTTAAACAAATAACATTATATTTGAATACAATTAATCCTTTTACTGTTCCGGACGCATATATGCATCCAAATTATACATATACGTGTACATATATGTGTTTATTAATATTTCAATGTAAAATAATGTAAATTATTAGTAAAATCAATCAACGAAACACAACCATACTAGTAATAAAGTATCCCGTCGTTCTTACACTTTATTTGATAATATTCAGCACTTCAAAGATTTAAAAAGAAAAGAAAAATTAATTAATTATATATGTATATAAGTACCTGATTCTCCGTTGTCGGATAAGATTGATTAGAATTGTCACAGAGTTCGCGTTTTCGTGAAACGTAAGGTGGTATTTGCGATTGATTATCAGTAAATTCTTGCCTATTGGACGTATTGTCTCGCAAAAATATGGCCTGACGTATTCCGTGCATCGTAACGTTACGAATAACACCAGGAACATCTGATATAAGAGAATATATTATATTCCATATATTATTTATAATATATCAATCATATATAAAAAGGTTAATTATTAATTTACAAGTAGGCAAATTGTGACTGCTGAAATGACCCCAAGTTCCTTGAGCAGTTGTTTCCTGTCTGCCATTATAAGGTATAGCAATTTGAGGTGGGGTAGGCAATTGGATCGTTCTTGTATGTTGTTGTTGTTGTTGTTGTTGTTGTTGTTGCTGCTGTTGTTGTTGTTGTTGTTGTTGTTGTTGTTGTTGATGATGATGATGATGATGATGCATATGGGAGGTATTCTACGAAAAAAAACCAAATCAAATAAAACGCAAGGATAAAAATTAAGAACAAACATATATTATATAAACGAAAATTAAATAATATAATTTAGAAAAAATGTAAATCTTTCAAAAAAAGAACTTGATTAAGAGAATATCATCACCTGATAAGGACTCCACTTTTGTTTATCAGGGAATTCAGTTAATTGATAATTCGCAATCATTTGTTGACGTCTAATCATTTCTCTTTCAAGATTAGCAGCAGCTGCAACAGTAGCAGCAGCGGCTGCAGCACGATAACTGATAATATCTATCGGTTGTTTGCCCAAAAGAAACTGTTGTTGTCGTTGTTGTTGTTGTTGTTGTTGCTGCTGTTGCTGCTGTTGTTGTTGAAAAATAAGTTGATGTTGTTGCATGGCGAGTCGTGATCTTTGATCAACGTTAACGTCGTTAACACCACCGGTGGTATACCATTCAGTTCCTCTTTCATTGTACCCACATTTAGAACGTGAATCATTTACTATAGCTGGACACCAAGATTCTGGTGGCATCATTGACCGATCAGCAGGATGATCAGCAAGTTGATGCTGTTGACGTGGTGTATGATCAATGAAATGAACTGTCTGATAATTGTTTGATAATCCTGAAGAACCACAATCAAGATGATGATGATGATGGTGATGATGATGATGATTCCTATGTTGTGGTTGTTGATTTAAGAATTCTTCAGTCAAAGAAGATGACGTAGTAGTCGTCGTTGTTGTTAATGATGTTGGTAGTGGGGGTGGTGGTGGTGGTAGTGGTGGTGGAGGCGGTGGTGTTGTGGTTTTCGTCGTTGTAATCGTAGTCGTCGTTGATGTTGACGTTGAAGAAGATCCAAGATGATTCTTCTGTGAATTCCCGATCGTATTCTGAACTATCGAACGTCTCGAGGATTCTCTGCTTTGCTCGCGCATAGCTTTTCGCATTCTAGCCTCTTTTGGATTATAGACATAATCTGTGAACAGATAAGATGTTCTTGTTAAAACAGATTATTTTATTTTATTTTATCTTATAGGATGATAACCCCATTAACATATTTACGGTCTTGTCTTATTTCGTTCAACTTTAATATCACTTTTAATTATGAAATTAAAGTATATCATACAAATAAGACACACAAATCCCAGTTTCAATGAATTCTTATCATTACGAGAACGTGTCCTTTTATCTTTGGAAATAAATATAAATCATAACATTCTCGTTGTTGGAGATGGTGTTACTACTACTACTATTGCTACCCCCCCCCCACGATCGAGGTCAATCCAATTAACCGTAACGACCCATCCTTCCAGACCCCCCATCCCCGATCCCCTCTCCCCGATCGATCGTGTTTATCAACCGAACTTATCGTACGGATAATAATTCGACGCCGATGACGACGATGACGACGAATAAAACCTCCACCCACCCCGATCGATGTGCCTTTTTACGGGAGAAGACGAGAAGAAATAAAGAAAATAAAGAAGCCAACATGTTCCGTGTGTCGTTTGGATTATTATCGACGTTCTTTCATTACGGTTAAACAGAAGGCTAAAAAAAAGGGGTATTTGAGTTGTTTTTTTTTTTTTTTAAAGGGAAACGTACATTACTAGAAAGGGTAATGATATATTCATGCGAAAATTTGCAATCAGTTGAAGGGGATTAATTAATTATTATTCTACCTGTCGGATGATAAGCAGCTGGCACAACAGCAGGATTGTAACGTGCATTAGTCTCGAGCATGTTCGAGATCGGTGCGGTACCATAATTCGCGTATGGAGCAACACTAGCATTGTTGTAACAAAAGTAGGCTTGCTGTTGTTGCTGCTGATGTTGTTGTTGTTGTTGTTGTTGTTGCTGGTGCAGTTGCAGTTGTTGTTGTTGCAGTTGCTGTTGTTGATGATGATGTTGTTGTGGTTGTTGTTGTTGTTGTTGTTGTTGATAAAAATGATTGCCAGGGGTGTACGCTTCGACGTAATTGCAGCAATCCATATTTTAAATTTTCGTTATAGGAGGATAACGGGATATTTTGTCGTCAGTTCTGATCGCTTAAGTGGTAATAATGATCCGTTTTAATCTGCTAACGTTAAGTGTTGCGTATCTTTTTTGTACCAAAAGAAAAGAAAAAAACAAATAAAAGGAAAAGAAAAAATATATTTAGAAGAGAGGAGGGGTAAATGTTCGAAGATTGTTCGAAAGTCTTTTTTTAAATGGTCAGGATTGTATTAGATAGTAGGTTAGTTAATTTGATAAAAACAAAAAAGGAAAATAAATAAAAAAAGACAGAGTTACAAGAAGACTTGGAAGAAAAAAACAAAATGGAAAGAAAAATATAGAAGAGCCAATAACCAATGGGTTTAGGTTCCTCGTTTGTTAAATGTTTGGTCAAAAATATATAGATATATATATATATTTTGTTGTTGGGCAGTTGTTGGGTTCGTTGGCGTGTAATTATTATTACCCGCCGTTGCCGCCGCCTCGGTTCCACCGCCGCTGTCCGTCAGTCCGTGGTCTTTGGTCTTTGGCAAATTACGCGGGAAAACACGAAAGGTGGTCGCCTTCGTCGTCGACGAGTCGTTGTCGTGGTGCCGTTCGATCGGCTGCTCGCATTCCATCGGGAAGACCCAAAATAATCTCGGCCCACTTCACCTGGTGCAACAACTTCCACGTTGTTATCCTCCTCCTTTTACTTGTCCTCATAGTGATCCTCATAATGAGCTTCTTTTTATTAATCGTCGATATCAATGACAACGACGAAATATTTATCTCTCTGTTCAGCATACTTCTCCAAAACTGAACACTCTTGTATAATTATGTTATATATATATAGATATATATTATAGCGTCTTATATATATTCTTTTTTTACCTTGTCATTAGGTAAGAGAAAAAGCGCTAAAAAAAAAAGGTTCGATTTATTGAAATTGTCGTTTTATCGAATCGTTACGTTCACCACTACCACCACCACCACCACTACCATCAGCAACAGCATTAGCAGCAGTAGCAGCAGCCTGTCAGACTGCACCGCTTCTTCTTCTTCTTCTTTAATAAACGGTACAACACTGTTGTCGTCGTCCTCGTCGTCGTCGTCGTCGTCGTCGTCGTCGTCGTCGTCGTCCTTCTTCTGTCGCGGCTCTCCTCCGACGAACGGAGGATGATGCGACGATTCCGCGTCTTCCTCTAGCACTCGCGCCATTCTCATAGCAGCAGTGTACCACTACTACCACCACCACTACTACCCCACCATCACCACTACTACTACCACCACTACTATTACAACCCACCACCTTTACCAGAGGTAACAACAGCGGCGGCGCCAGCAGCAGCAGCAGCAGCAGCAGCAACAGCAGCAGCAGCAGCAGCAGCAGCAGCAGCAGTAACAGCAACACCAGCAGCAGTAATAGCAACACCAGCAGTAACAACAGCAGAAACAGCAGCACTACCAGCACCAGTACCAGTACCAGCACCCAGTTGTGGTAGCTGCGCCGACGCTTCGAGATCGATGCTTGAAACTAGGCTTCCTTCTCTAATTCCCCTCCTCTTTTTCCTCCTCTTTCTCTTCCATCATCTTCAGCAATAGCCCCAAAGCTAGCCGTAGAGTTACGTCGAGCGCACACGAGACACCCTCTCCGAGGCTAGAGATGTCAACACACCGACACCTTTCTTATTCCCATCTCCTTTTCTACCATGACCATCATCATCAGTCTCTACTCTTTCTCTTTTCCTTCGTGTTTATCTTTTTCTTTTTTCTTCCTCTTCTTCTTTTATCCCCCTTATTATTCAGCCTTCACCCTCATCTCTTCCCCCTAGTCTATCTCACCTTCTCCATCTTTCTCCTTTTCCTCCCACCTCCTCCCACCCTTCCCTACTATCACCACCTTTTTTCTCTTTCCTTTCCCCCCCTTTTTTTTTCTTTTTCCAAGAGACTCTCGCTCAAGAGCTTTCTCTTAGTCTCGGGTACCTTGGTGTCCCTTTTTATTTTTTTTTTCTGGTAACCCTTTATCTTTTTCTCTTTTTTTTCTCTTGATATTCCTTGGGTTTAGTGTCCTCTTTGACAAAAATGGGAAAAAAGAATAAGAAGAATAAGAATTAATGGGAATAGAGAAGAGAAAAAGATAAAGAAAAATAAAGAACGATGATTTTCCCCTTGCTACTGTTGCTGCTGCTACTGCTGCTGTTGCTGATGTCTCACGTTAAACCTTATTCGCACTGATTTTCAATGAACCACCACCACCAACCAGCCAACCAGCGCCGCGACGACGACGACGGATCAACGCGACGGCTGGCTGGCTGGCTAGCTGGCTCGTGTTCGTCGTCATCGACGAACTCGACTTTCCTCCCCTGCCTCCCTTCCCATCCCACCCCGCCCTTTCGTCCTACTCCTACCTCCAACTACCACCCCCTAACCCAAGCCCAAACCCAAGCCCAAACCCAAGCCCCAGCTTCCCCCCTTTTCTTCCTCCCGTTCTGCTGCGTCGGTCCAGAGGACCCACGAGGTGGTGGAGGAGGAGGAGGAGGAGGTACACGAAAGGGAAAATAATTCTAATTCTTTTCAATGGTTACTTCTTCTTCTTCTTCTTCTTCTTCTTCTTGTGTCGAATGATTGGAGGATTATATTTTTTTCTCTTAGATTATTTATTTAAATTTACGATCGTTTGACAAAGTTAACGGACACAAATATAAAAAATAAAAGAGTAGGGGAGGAAAAAGAGCAATGTCCTCGGTCTCATCGAAAGTGCATTCGGCTTCCTCCCTCTCTTCTTTCTCTTCTTCTTTTCTTTTTTTTCACCCTTCGAACTCACCCCCATCCCTCTCACTATCTCTCTCTCTCTCTCTCTCTCTCTTAGGGTATCGTCTCTATTACTTTTTTTCTTTTCTTTGTTTTATTTTATTTTGTCCGTTTCTTCATCGATTATCTACTTTGTAGCTTCTTACAGATTTACCCTATGGTTATTAGCGTTGTATTCTTTGAATTTTTTTGTAGTAACGTAAAAGATTGAAAGTGGTAAATGTCAAGATTCATATGACCATTTGGTGACCATTTTGTACGAAATGTTAATTGTTTAATAATATATTCAAATATTCGGCGGTCTCTCTTTCATTGACGTATTTTGTACATGTTGACATTTCACCATGTGAATCTTGACATTCTCCGATTACGATCTTCCGCGATTACATATATATTGGGGTTGGCAAGAAAGGAATTTCGGTTTTCTAGTGTGAAAAAATTGCACAAAATTAAAAAGAAAAAAAGAAAAAAAAAGAAAAAGAACGAAATTTTAGGTTGGATCAATAGATCGATTAGATAAATCGAGACACAATTGGGATAAACGATTATAGTGATTCGACCAATCAAGATCGCAATGTTATTTTTGTATTCGATCGTTAAATTCGTTTGGGAAAATTCGTTTAAAGGATCGATTAGTAATTAAACGTCGTCGTTGTAGTGGTTACTTTTTTTGTAATAATTGTAAAAAAAAAAAGAATAAAAAAGACAAGGAAAAATGTTGAAACGATTAACGTTCGCCAACGAGAAACGAGGTGTAGTAGGCTGGTGGTATCGTCGAATGGTGCCAGGAGCGATAGAAATCGATCGATTCGAGCGTCACCCTTTTCCTATCTATGCGCTTGCACGCTCGTTCGGCACTTTCAGTGATAAGTTGCAACTACTTCAGCTGGCGCGTGCGCCCCTCAACGTTTTAAAACTCCTCTCCTGTCTCTATGTCGCGATCTATACACCTACATATATATATATATCTACATATACATATACGTATATATACATATATATGTCTTCTTTGAGTACAGGTGTTACGTGTTATATATGCATATATATGTATGTATGAGTTCGCTTGGAAGCCAATGCAGTTAAATTCAGAAAACGAAAAATCAATATTTTATAATATGAATTAATTTCGAAAATTGTCCATTACATTGATGTCATCAGAAAATTGTAAATATAGTCTTTTTCTAGTAGATCTTTTATTTCTTATAAAAATTCCTAATTTAGTAAATCCTTTAATAACTATAAAAAAAAGAACAATATTATTTATGGCATTTAAATTGACAATATATTAATTAGAAAATATCCAAAAAATGGATTTAAAACAATATTGGTTTCTACATCAGTAACTCACATATATGCATACATATATCTACATCTATATCTAGATCTATAACTGTACCTACATCTATATCTATGATATAATAGGTTAGTTGCACGTGAATGCTTAGCAAGACGACGATGAAGTACGAGAAAGACAAGACAAGAGAAGAGAAGAGAAGAGAAGAGAAGAGAAGAGAAAGGTAGGAAGGAAGGAAGGAAGGAAGGAAGGAAGAAAGGAAGGAAGGAAGGGTGGAATAAGAGAAGTACGGAGGGCATAATCGGCCTGATCCATGGGTGTAGGCAAGCAAGCAAAGCAAGTAAAGCAAGCAAGCAGGTAGGTAGGTAGGTAGGTAGGTAGAAGCGCGGTCGTGTATCGGACAGGTTCCTAGACCCGCGTCGCAATCAATACCTCCGGTCTCTCTACCGTTTCCTCCACCCTTTACTCCCTTGTCCCCTTATCCCCCTGCCTCCTCGCCCACCCGTTTCTCGTCAACTCGACCGAGGATATCTCCTATCCCTCTCTTCCTATCCCTTTCCTCCTCTTCACCCCCTTCCCCTTTCTCTCTCTCTCTCTCTCTCTCTCTCTCATCCTTTCAATTTACATTTCTTTTACACACCTTTTTTTTCATCCCCTATACATTTTGACTTTGACGATAGCAAATCTAATATAAAGTACTATCCCTTTTGGTATATTCTCAACCCCCAATCCCCCAACTCCACCTCATTCCCTCCCCCCTTTCCCCCCTCTTCTTAACAGAATGATGAATAAAAATAGAGAAAGAATAGGTGATCAAGTCTGAGAGGGAATCATCATCAGGCTTGTCGAGTTCTCTTATAGTTTTCTGACAAAAAAGGAATATTCTATCGGATCGTTCTTAAAGAAACCATTTGATTATAATGATCGATATTTTGTTTTTTGTTCTGTGTGTCTCTCTTTTTTTACCACATTGTATATAATGAAGTATGGGACTCATGAAACATGGCATTTTTGCAGAAACGTATTTAGCACATGTTATAAGAGGGTTATCTGTGTATTTTAGATATATTTTAGATTATTATTATAGAGGGAAGTTTTACTATTAGTATAAATTTTCCAACACCCAGTATCAAGTTGGTATATAATACGTTCTCATGTGTAATCGAAAACTACGTTATGATCTTATAATTTATCCGAGAACAAATGTAATTATTAAGGAATCGATAGTGTTTAAACGTACCTTGGCAAATAGCTTCGAATAAAAGGTTAAGAGAACGTATTTTAATGGGATATTATCAAGAATCTTTCGTTTAATATTACACCAGTTGGATATCAATTTACTTTATTTCTACTTTTTACACCCCTTCTCTGTGTTTTCATTTGAGAGAATAACTTTTAATGTGGAAACATTGAAATCTCGATCAAAGTTTATTATCTTTTTCGCCTAACATTGGAAAATTATTAAAATATAAAATAAAACACTTACCGGGATATTTCTTTTTGTGTTCTGCGTCAACTTCTCGTGCCAATGTGAAATACCTTTCCTTCACGTCTTGTGATATATTTTTCCAAAGTATTCCAAGTCTAAATTGTTATTAAAGATTAATTTAACTGATGAACAAAATATAGAAATATAGAATTAACATTTAAGAAATAATACTAAACCTGACACTGATGTCCTTGTTAGACTCACGAGGATTTTCATTAGCCAATTTCTTTCGCCATTCATTGGCAAATAACATGAAAGCATTAGCCGGTCTTGGAATTTTTCTTTTCAATAAATTTCCACCATTGTTGTTTTTCTCGTCGTAAGATAACAAAGTTTGTAATATTCCTTGTTGTTTATTAACAGGTGATGTGAAATTTTTCGTACGATTTTCTTTATCATCTTTAACAACGATTGATTTTTTTTTGAACAAATCAAAAGAACGTTTCTCTATCACGATGTTATTACTGTTGATAGTATTGTTGTTGTTGTTGGAATTTTTATTGCAATTCTTTCCACGATAATTATGATAGTTTGACAAATAAATGGCTTCCTTTTTTGTCGAGATAGGTGATAGGATGTTAGGTTTGATGTTCCTTGAATCACGTTTAGTATTGTCTGTTAGAAACAAGGCATCATATAATTAATCCATTTTCATTATTTCTCTCGAGATTCCTTCGAACGAACATGTATTATTATGAATGTGTAATAAATTAGCATTGATCTTTGCGAACCGTATGAGAGTAGTTAAAAAAAAAAAAAAAAAAACTTCCGAATAATAATTATGTGTAATAATAGTTGCGTGCTATTACAAAATTAAATGAAAAAAAAAAGAAGAAAAAAAAGAAAAAAGACTTGAATATTCTATAATAATTCGAATACACGATACTCCATAGAGATCACTTTTAATTAATTGAATGATTTTTAATAACGATTGAAATTTCTACAAATATGTATAAACAAAACAAAACCCCCCTAAAAAAAAAACATTACGAATATGCTTACCTTTTTGTACGACACATTCACATCCACGATTATCCATGACGATATTCACAAAATTAATTTTCAAATGACAACTTACAAATAAAAATCCTTAAATCAAAATCTTCAATTTCTTTTATATATATATATATAAATATATCTGTTGATATTATTGAGAAAAAAAAACATTTAACAATAGTCGCGATGTTTATGAGATCCGTTAGAAAGGTGTTCTTCTCTTCTCTTCTCTTCTCTTCTCTCGTAATAATCACCAAGTTAACACTAAACTAAGAAATGAAAGTTTCTTTTCTTTGGTTGTGCCTAGAAATGATGCAATATTGGTTGTTTGAAACAATTGAACAAGAAAAAAAAAAAAAGAAGAAAATAAAATCTAATCCTCCTCACAGAGATACGTAACGACGATCTTCATTTTGAAAATAAAAGAAGACCAAAAAAAAAACAAGAAATTAATTATATACGATCGAGATATTCAAATTTTATATTTTATAATCGATATATATATATATATATATCATCAAGTTAATATTGTTTTTTTTTCTTCAATAAAAATTCATTTGACAAAATGTCATGTAATAATAATAATAATATTTGTAATTGTGACAACACTGGCCTTGATTATTATGGAATATTATCGTTGAACAGAAATTCTAATGACCTTGACATAAAAAAAGCGTAAGATAGTTACATACAAGTAAAATAATTGTATATATATTATTGAAATACTTAAAAGAAAAAATGCTTATATATAATTGAAATGATATTTGATATAATAAAAATTAATGTTTTTTCTTATTAGACAATACAAATTAAAAATAAAAATATAATTTATATAATAATAATAATTTATAATTTTAGGATATATATATATATATATAAATATATAATTGTTATATAGATTTAGAAGATTAGCTATAAGTCATCATCCGAAAGCTAAAGGGAATAATGGTTGCTTTGAAGGATTTAGTTTGATAGCTGAAGCATACGATGTGCTTTCGGATCCATTGAAAAGGGCGGTGTACGATCAGTACGGTGAGGAAGGTTTGAAACATGGTGTTCCGGGTCCTAATGGGTTTATCGAACCTTACGTTTATCATGGAGAACCTATGAAAACTTATAGGTATATATCATAGAAATAAATTGTATTAACAAATGGTTATTTAATTAAAGAAATATCTTTGTTCGTTTCATATACAGAGAATTTTTTGCTACCGAAAATCCATACGCCGATCTTTTGGATCATTTAACAAGGCCACAAACGTTACTCGAATTCTCAGAAGGTCGTGGAATAAAAATAAAGGATCAACCAGTGATAAATAAATTACAATTATCATTGCAAGAGGTATTTTATGTTTAATTGATGATATTGCATTTGAATTAAAACAACGAAAAGTACGTTTTCAATGCAACGAGTTAATTAATCGTTTTGTTGCTAATTTTTTCAACGATTTCAATATCACACGCTGACGTTTAATTAATTAATTAATTAATGTATGTATAGGTGTATCCATCTTGCTAAAGTGTGATTTTGAAATTAGATATTTTACATCCAACGCATTCCTGAGAATCTATTTTTATTTCACGCTACTATTAGAAATAATATATCTGTGTTTATTGCACTTAGGTATATTTTGGTGGTACGAAAAAAATGAAAATACAAAGATTGGTATTCGTTGATTGTACAAAGATGAAAACCGAAATTAAAGAAGACATTTTGACGATACCAATTAAACCTGGTATATTAACGGGAACAAAAATGATTTACCCAGAAATGGGTGATCAAAGTTCAACGAAAATATCTGGTAAAATTATGAATAATCATTATTATTATTTGTTTGATGTAATATTAAAAATGATATATTTACAATAATACATTTGTATTCAGCTGATATCATTTTCATTGTCGAGGATCGACCTCACGAAACGTTTCAAAGGAAACATTCGGATTTACATATGATTGTTAATGTTTTTTTAAAAGAAGCACTTACGGGAATAACAATTACCGTTAATACCATCGATGATAGAATATTTAGAGTACCAATAACTTCTATTATCACGTATGTTATTAATATTTATTTTTTTTGGGAAGAAGCAGGGGAGATTTTATCAACATATTTTTCATTTATTTTATTAACACATTCGCTGCTGGCATATTTTTTCCTTTTCTAAATACTGGCTACCGAATTGTATTTTTCGTGGATGCGTTCTAAACATATTTTCATGTATTTTGAATATTGTTCATCAGGCCAGATTATCGCAAGATTATCAAAGGGGAAGGATTACCTTTACCGGACAATCCAAAGGAAAAGGGAAATCTAATATTAAATTTTCATGTAGAATTTCCTATTTATTTGTCGATTATTAGTAAGGATTATGTTCACAAAGCGTTTGAATTACTAATAACCAGCGATACGATAGAAAATACCGAATATCTTCATCGTTATGGTGTTCAACGTTATAAAATGTGGAACATGTTATAATATTTTAAACCATATATAAGATTTTTTAAATTTATATCTTATCTAAATTCCCATACAATATATATTTGAAAGTCTGTGTTATTTAATTATTGACGAATCAATTAACAAAATATTATATTGTTATTTTAACAGTTAATTATATTAAAAATATCCGAGTACTTACAATATTTCAAATAATTTCATTAACTTTGATTATATAACTTTGATTAACAACACACTCCATATGATAAGTAGTTGTTAGTTTGATGAACTATTTATTGATGCGGTATATTTCATGTCGATAATATCCAATTGTTGGTATTATCGTAGCATAGGAATCTGCATTATCGATTATGAAATTTTGTATACTAAATAAAAAATTCTAATGTTTCTGTCATCTCGTAAAGTACCTACTATCGTCCTCTGGTGGTCCTGGAGCAAATTAATATATAACTAAATAATCTACTAATTTTCTAGTTACTTTATTAAACAGCAATCGATAATGCAGATTTTTATAAAACGGTATTATCAACAATCTAATTTTACCGACATAGAACCGTATCGATAAGTAGTTCATCAAAATAACCATTTATCATGTAGAGTGCGCTGTTAACCAGAGATTAAGAAATCACACATATCGATCTATCGATCTATGCACAATCGGATTATAATAGATCATAGATCATTCGTCAAAGATCGTCAATAATAATAAATATCGAGAGAAACAGATAGAAAAAGAGAGAGAGAGAGAAATTAATCCTACCGATAAATTCAAAACGATTAATTATCAAATATATATATAATGTATCTATATTATTTATCGAATACATCACAGTTTAAAAAATAATAATAAAAAAAGAAAAAACAAGTTGTGTATAGAAAATGTGTTGGAGTGTGTGTTTAACAACAAGATGGCGCGGCATGTATCTGACCAAAGTGTCATCGAAAGTGCCAACGTTGCGGCGAACGTATTTTTGCTCGTGTAATCGTACGAAATTAATCTTTTTTTTTTTTTCCTTACGTATTTCTAACGTTTTCGTGTTAAATCGTGTCACATCGAGTAATCACACATTTTGTTGATTTTGATTTCATTCGAAATTCTTTCTATTTCTTTTCTAACATTCCTTGAATTTAGTCGAAGAAAGAAAAAAAAAAAGAAAGAAAAAAAAGAAAGGGGTCAAGAGGCGTCTTAATTTTCCGCGTGTTTTGTGCGTGCGCCGATTTGCGACGTTGTTGAAAGAGAGGCAGAGTGAGAGAGAGAAAGAGAGAGAGAGGGATAAAAATATGTTCTATCTTTCTTTATCTTTTTCCGTTTCGCATATCTATGAATACACAACTACTGCTATTCGTATTACAACTACTAGAAGACTACGACAATTGTGACGATTACGTTGATGACTACTTTGACGATGACTACTTTGACTACTTTGACGACGACGACGACAACGACAACAACTAGGACGATGATTTTGTTAATCACGCGTTCTATGTCAAAACGGTCGGGAAAAACGGAAGAACGTTATCTCTCTTAGTAAAGAATCATATGACTCCCTCTAATCGCACGTGACTTTATTTACAGTTTACTTACACTCGCTCGGCTTTAACATGCATGGTGCAGTTATTTGTGACATGATACCAATTAAATACAAATTTAACGTGGAACGCGTTAAAAGACGATTGGGAATTATTTTTACCTTATAATGTCTTTGTTCGGTAAATTAAATCTTTTGAGGAAACATTGCAAAGACAATAATATTAATAATAATAATAATAATAATAAGTCTAACGAAATTGACGATAAAATTACTACAACTACAACTACAACTACAACTACAACTACAAATACAACTACTACGTCTACGAAAACAACCAATAATACGACAAAGAAGAATACCAACAACGATAGGTAAGAATTTCACATTTCCTTTACAATTATTATTATTCATTATTTATTATTATTTCATGACAATTTTCTATTTAAATTATCATCTATTCGAAACATTAACAAACAATAACTAAATATATTAAACGAGAAACATTATTTTGATTCGTTTCATTTTGATTTCATTCATATGATCCAATTTTATCTCATTAAGAAATACTCGAAAGTATTATAGTAAAATAATAATAAAATAAAACCCTACGATTTAATATAATTAGATATTAGATCGAAAAAGGTGATACTAGTCCTTCTGTCATTTTTTTCTTTTTTTGGTTCTTGTTATTTGATTTTATCTCATTTCATTTCATTTTACTTTATTTTATTGTTACAGAGAACCAACATTATGTCTTGGTACGGAACAAGTGAGGATTTTGTTATTTCAAGAATGCGAGTGGCGTGGAAGAAGGGTACTTTTCGATTCTCTCAAATTGGAGAATCGACGTACCAAAAATGCAACCTCTACTACTGGCACGGTAAAATATTCAAATAAATAATAAATAATACAAATATAACAATAGTAAATTAAAGAAATAGAGAGAGAGAGAGAATTTAACCCAAAAAAGAAGAAAAAGAAATTGAAATATCACTCGTGTCTGATAATAAAATCATTAATAATTTGTTCATTCATTTTCATGAAAAATATATTATTTAACATTTCGAATAATACTTATTAAATATTACATATTCTAAACATACATTTACATATTTATAGATCAAACAACTTTGTTAACAATAGAAAATAACGTGATTCATATCATAGAGAAAGAGAGAGAGAGAGGAGAATTTGTTTTACAAGAAGAAGAAGAAGAGAACATACTCGCACGCTTCTAAGATTTCTGTCTCCTTGGCCTTTTGCCACAAACACAAATGCGACAGGTTTTAACAACAACACATGCATATATACATACGTATGATTGCAATCACGTTATTCGCAAGAGTAACATTGGAAAAGATTCGTTTAGAATCTAACGTGGGTTGCTTCTTCTCGTTCATTGATAGAATGTTGAAAGACGTTTTTCAAATTGTTTATAACGATACAATCAAATTTTTTGTTTTTCATTTTAATATATAATATAATAATATGGTATATATTATATATACATATGTGTGTGGGTAAATTTGATCTTGTATAACGTCAAATAACTCGAATAATCATATTTTTATCAAATGGCCTTTTGTTATTATTCTTTCATTATCTTTCATTCCTTTTTCTCTTTTTTTCTTATTCTCCAATCTCACTAACTTATTTCAATTTTTTATCAACAAAGATATAAACGATGACCAATAAAAAGTGTTACTTGATTATATTATGTACTACTATATTACCGCGAAATACAAAAATAATATTATTATTAATTTATTTGTTCATAATTGTATTATTATTTTTAGAAAGAAAAAACAGCCGAGGATACTACGAGCTCATTAAGTGAAATGGTTTTTGGTACGGTTGCAATGACTTATAAAGGATCATCATTTAAGGTATCTTTTTAATCAACAAAATTACAAGAAAAGAGAAATCAAAAATATCTCCAATTAATACAATTGTTATTGGAATTAATTAAYTTAAAAAATTGAATAGGTACATTCGATGAAATCACCGGCATGCATCATTTGTACAAAAGTATTCCCTGTTACGGAACACAACGGGCCTAAGCAGAAGTAAGGACACGTTTTGCTTTAATAACGGTGTGCGATCATCCTATTTTATTAATAGTTTACAATGACGAACTGACATAACGTTCATTTACGTGCAGTGAAAGGTTCTCGGATGGTACATTAACGCGTTGTTCAACACACGTGGATTCTAATACAAGTAATAGCAGTATAAAAACATCTAGTGAGTATAATCAAATATTTACAAAATAATCATATTTTAGATGATTCGGTAAAGAATTGTGGTGTCATTAAAAATAAACGAACCAGACAACAAAAATACAAAAATTGGCATTCATATTTTACAAGAAAATAATGTTTTAATAGAAATTCAATAATAATAATAGACATTGTGCAAACATTTTGCAGTATCACGTCCAAGTTCTGGTAATGTGTCATCGTCTAATGATTTATTACCGGATCCGAGAAAAAATTCATCGTGTTCTAGCAACGGTAGCAGTTGGGACATGGAAACTCAATTGCATATGGGAAGTAAGTTTCTCCTTTTATTTTCTTTTTTTATTTAATTCTTTATATCAAAGATTATTACTTTTATTTTTTTATTTTTTTTTTTTATTTTATAGGTTCTCAATCGTTAGAGAGCAGTGGGTCTTCCGGTGTAGGAAGTAGTTTATCAAGTTTACGTCGTAAATGGTTGAGAGCAGTTTCCACTTCTTTGAGTAGATCTGATTCCGACGATATATTTGGTATACAACAATATGGTGACAATAATAGCGAGGGTGGTGGTGACAAACATTACAGAAGTAGGCTTGGATTAATGATGTTAGTTCGTTTAACTCAAGGACAAGAAAGGTATTTTTTATTTCATTTCATTTCATTTCATGTCATTTGAATAAATAATTATTTATTACAGGAGAATAGAAACGAGATTGTTAGAACATATGACCCTATTGGAAGGAATGTTGGATCGTTTAAGATATTTTTGTATCGAACGTAACGGTTTCAAATATAAAACTAATCGTAAATTAATCGATCCGGCAGATAGAATGTATCGTGCATCCTATCGTTTTATAATTTCCCTATTACGATTATTAATTAATCCGAATTATTGTCGACCACCATTATTGTGGCACGACGTTCTACTTAATTCTGTGATAACTTTGGAAATGAATTCCAATATATTGCAACGTGGTTTACAACAGATGTGTCAATTGTTGGACGACGTTGATACCAAATCGACAAATTTGTGAGTACTTTTTTTAAATAATATAATAATGTTTTGTTTTTTTTTCAAATTCACAAAAATTAAATTAATTATGATATTCATCTTTCGTTTATTTTACGTTGCAGTTTTTTGAGTACTGTTGTGACTGCGGTGTTGATGTATCATCTTGGTTGGGTTTACACTATACTTCCTGCAAACGATCGACAAACGGTAATACAAATTAATATTTCATCATATTATTGTACCAGTTAACGTTATGCGTTAACATCAAATAATAGAAACCTATTCTTATACAAAAAAAAAAAAAATAAATAATAAATTACATATATAAACTTTGTTATTAATAATAATATAAAAATAAGTGTCCATCATCTCCCCGCTTAACAAAAACTGATCTCACAAGAATATTTTTAAATAAACAATACTCAACTGATGTAATGAATTATTTTTGTTAATTTTCAGATGGAAAATTTGGGTAAATGGTATCCATGTAATCCATTATGGGCACAATTAGGTGATTTGTACGGTGCTATGGGTAATCCAATAAAAGTAACACACACCCTCGTGGTTGGTGATTCACGTAAAAGCGATTTAATCAATTCGGTATTATATTTTCTAACATATTTCATTCGTAGTGGAATAGTACATAAACAACAAGAATATCGGTGTGCAATAGAAGACGATATAAAAGAGGCTACTAATTTTTTGGAACAAATGAAAATAAAACGACCACATTTGTTCGATTATACAAAAGCAAGAAATAATATAACAAACGATAGTAATCGAAATAATACGGTAAAGATGATTAAACGTGAAACGCGAGTGCCGATACGTAAACAAACTCAAACGTTAAATCAAATGCAAGTACGTGTTAACGATAGTGCTACGATAAATGAACAATTGCACGTTGATGAACGTACGAGATCAGAATCCAACGTAGAACGATGTAGGTCAACCGAAACGTCAATACGTTCTCTCAAACGTAGTACAACTATGAAAGTTGCATTAGATCAATATATGTTGAAATCAAACGACGAATCATCATTACATGAATCGACAACGCCAATATCAAAATCATTATCTACGATACAAGATGAAACAATTGACGAGGAAAAGGTTAAACCAATTACTACGAATGTTAATCAAAATTATATTCAAAGTAAAGTGAAAATAATTGTTAACGAGATAGATTCGAATACGATTGATGAAGAAATTACGTGTAACGTTGATAATCAAAGACAATTTGATGTAGAAAATGTAACAAATATCAATAAAAATGATGAATTTAAAGATAATACAAATGCATCATCGTTTAAACGAATATCTATAGAAGAAGAAGACGAAGAAGAAGAACAAGAAGAAGAATGTAAAAGTAAGAACGATAATGGTGGTATTAACAACAACAACAACAACAACAACAACAACAATAACGACAAATCTACTACTACTACTATTAATCAAACAGATTTTCTTAGATTATATGATAATAATTTTATCGAAGAAAATAAACGTCAAGAACAGGTATATTTTACATTAGGTTGCGAGGATAAACCTAATAAATATATTTCACGTCCAAGACTCGGTTACAATTGTCAATGTTCTTATATGTTTACCACGTTACCAAGTACATCGGCACAATTACCGGAAAATGTATTGAGAAAAATAATTCAAAGAAATTTTCCCGAATCATCGAAAAGTATGGAAGCATCGTCTGGTACAATGTCAAGTATGGAATCTAATATGGAATCTAAATCAACACGTATTTGTCCTAGATGTCATAATCAAAGTAATACATCGTCACAAACTTATAATGGTATGAAAGAATTATTGGAAACACCGACTAATGCTACCGAAGTATTACGTACTTGTGTTAACGCTGATAGAACCGTTGCTATGTCTCGTTCTAATAGTTTGGAAACATTGATGGAAGCAAACAGTGTTATAGAATTACCTATGCCACGGTGAGTGAACATTTGGAACGTTTATTTTGAAAATTGAACAAAATTACATATTGGTCAATTAAGAAATCTAATAATTGACATTTGTTATAAATATTTAGCTAAATTATAAACTGTTCTTTTTTTTTTTTTTTTTTTTTAATTTCTAGATCTAAACTAGTCTCTTCCAAACAAGTTAATAATTCTAACGAAGAAACGGGATTTAATAAAACACTATTACAAACTAAAGTATCAAATACAAGACAAACTAACAACGGTAATTGGTCAACCAATTATACTTGGGGTTTGGTTATACAAGGTTTAATAAAGAAAGATAAAAAAAGACGAAAACGTCGTAAAGATAAAACGGAAGAAAAAGAAGAAGAAGAACAACAACAACAACAACAAAAAGAACAAAAAGACCAACAAATTATCGAATCGGATATAGAAGATGATTGGTGGTGTTGCGTACGTGAAGAAGTTGCAGCAGGAGTACGTTTTCCTACGATTGATGAACCAGTAGCCGAAGCTGTTTGTATTTTAGCAGATTTAGATACCTGGCACGTTGGAATTTTATCTAATAACACGCCATCGGAAGGGCCACCTTTACCTGTTGGCATGTCACGTTTAGTTGCCAATATGTTGGAAGCATTTTCTTATGTTTGGCGCAAATATCATTCACCGTTACACGTAAGAAAATATCACATTTATTTTTATTTAATCATAACTATATATATATATATACAGGGTATCCTAAACAAACAAAATGACATATTCATTTTTTGCAGTGTGTCGATATATTGGAATCAAAATTGCGGGAAATGTGGTTGAGAAGCGAGGCACTTGCTCAAATGTTGATGACAGCGGATGTATGCGACGTTAGTGTAGCAGCATTAACAAACGCACTTGATCTCGATGCTGCTGATATTCCACTATTATTAGCAGTAGCTACAACTCATTCACCGGAAATCGCGCAACGATTTGGTCTCACGCTCGTTTAAATAATAAACGACTGGTCCCTACCCATCTCCCTTATACTTTTTGTTGCATACCAAAAACGTGTTGTCATTGTATTGTCCTTTTGTAATTCCCTTGATGAAGAAAGTTAGATAAAATCGTTTGGGGATTTGCTGTACAACTGCAACAGTGCAACAACAACAACAACAACAAGAACTGTAACAGTGCAACAAAAACAACAACATAAATTAACCTTTTCCTCTCTTATTAGAAAATTTTATTTATATTTATTATATATCGTCGCAAAAAAAAAAAAAAGAAAAATAGGTGCTGCTGCTATTGCTGCAGCAACCTATGATGGTGGGATTTTTTTTTTATTTAACGAAATTCTGTATAATTTTATTTTATATTTTAGTTTTAACAAAACACGACTATTCCGGAAGACACCGTGTTGAAACGTTTGTCACTTTCGTCAAAGTGTGATTTATTTTTTTGTTAAACGAACACGCAAATTGTTTTATAATAGCAAGTTTATTTATATTTGTTCGATAAAATAAAACACATAGGAGATATAATATGATATATATATTTTTTTTATAAATTATTTATATATATGTACACACATATATAGACATATTTCGACGCGGGACTAATGTTGAAAAATAAGATGTATAATATATATATAAATGGATAAATATATACAGGGTTTCCCATATAACTGTATTCACGATTTTTTAAATACTTGTGATAACCTGACCAAAAAAAATGTGTGTTTCATTCAATGCATTCTATGTTTGCGATAATTTAGCAAAAAAAAAAAAATAAAAGAAAAAAGAAAGTAAACAAACAAACTAAACATTGTCAAAATTAAAATTTGACATGTTGCATATTTCATGATAATAATTCATTTGATCAAAGTATAATCAAGTTTCATAAACACGGTCTTTTTTAAATTCCGTTTGTGTAACCTCGCAAAAAACTTCTTCTTTTTAAATCATTAAAACAGAAAATATTATCAAATGGAGATTTGTCCTCCCGAACCGTGAGCCACTACTAGTAACAAATTTAAAATTATAAGTAAAAAAACGTTTCGTATGACAGACCAATTTTTGTTTTATTCATATACAGATATAGACATTTAGAATTTTAACTAAATCTTTTAATAATAATAATAATAATAATATTACAAATAAATAAATAAATAAATATTGTATACTCTTATCACAGACCTAAAGAAACGCGTCCAGTTTCGATCATCGAAGCAAAAAATAAAATTCGGGTGAGTGTTTAAATTTCTGTTGAAAAAAAATAAAAGAAAAAGAATTAGGTAGAAATTCATTTTTAATGTATTCCCGTTATCTCGTAATCTCATCATCTCATCATTCTAATATGGTATAATCTATTCTTAGCTAGATCATGATGAATGCTGCAATTGTTGTTGCTGTTGCATACCACAACCCACTGCATTTGTGAGTACAACTCATACTATTGGTATTAATTAATTGTACAAGATTTTTGCTACATTATATTTTATACATTACTATTACCATATACATATGTTAACATCTTTTTACATTATCATCTACATAATAACATAATGTTAACATTAAACACATAATATAAATAAATCATAGAAACTAGAAACATTTAAGTCTCAATTAAAATAATCAACCATGTTTTTGAGAAAGTACATTGAATTGAATTCTCACGTAATTCAATTGCATATTTCACAATTATTTCACACGTTAACTAGTCGAAGAAAATAATTAGACAAAAATAAAAGAAAATGAATTTACAATGAAAACGAGTAAATAATTGAAGAAATGAAAAAAGAAAAACATTTGATTCTATTTATTGTAGGAATACGTTCAACCGGAAGTACCGAAATCATTTCGACCAATTCAAGTAAGTAAAGCAAATGAACACCATGCTTCATGATTTTTACCAAGAAAAAAAAAAAGAAACAAACATACACAGACAGACAGATCAAAAAGATAATTAATCCAATTTTGACATAGTATTATATGAAATCGGATATACCAATAGAAGATGCTACAACTTATCGATATTCTTATTGGGATGGGCCACGTCCATTAGTTGAAGCAATAAAACCCAAAGATTGTTTGACAGTCGGTGACGGTAGTATAACCGATGAAACAATTCATAAAGTTAATAATCATTTTCTTTTAGTAATTAATTAATTCAGAAAGAGAAAAAAAAATCAAATCAAATAAAATTACAATACATACAATGTATATACAATATTTGTATGTTAAATCTAACAAAATACACAAATACGTGTTTGATACGCGTTAGTTGAGTTACTTGGGTAATTGGTGCATAAAAACGGAACCACCTATAACACCATGCGATAAACAATGGCTCGGTAGAGGACCAATGCAAGATGTGACTACGCAAAAACACGATTATCAATGGAAATCAATAAAACCATCTGAATCGATCAAAAGAAGAGATAATTTGTATCTACCATGTGCTTCCATATCTGGTTAATTTTTCATTTAATTTTATCATTTAACACTAGATTTACGGATTTGACTTATTTCAAATTTTTCAGCTACATATATTTTAAAAATAATTTGTGTTTTTTGATATAATAATAATTATTATTATTATAAAATTAATTAATTTATATTTATTATAATAAACAGATGACACGACTTATCGTTTAAGTTATTTCCCTGTTAATTGTCATTTACCTACGGAATCTTATACACCTAAAAGAAATTATTGCAAACCGTTAATACCAATGGATGGTTGTACGACATATAGGTTGAGTTATTGGCCAACTGAGACACAAATTAAGGTACTTACTTTTTTTCTCAAGTTAAATATAATATTTATTTTCTTCTATTATATTGTATTATTTATAATCTCTTATGCGTTTATATTACAGACAGATCAGCCATGGAAAAAGAAGGGAGAATATCATAGACCAGTTGATCCTATGGAAAATTGTACGACATATAAATTAAGTTATTGGCCACATTGTGAAAAACCTCGTTCACCTTTTACAATGCAGGATACAGAAAACTTACTCAATGCAGGTTAATTAATACACATTTAAACAAAAATAATTTAATTTAATGAAAAATTAATTATAAAATAAAACGACGATACAATAATCATTCATTTATATAATACAATCCAATTAATATTCAATTATTTCATAATGCAGATTGTTGTTTCAACGATGATACAATTTATCAATTGAGTTATTTCAATTGCGGAGGTGAAAGAAGTGACGCATTTAAACCACAGGGAAATATTTGTCTATCGTCTTGCCCACTTTCTCACGATACAGTACACAAAGTTAGTTATAATCATGTTAATCGTTAATTAAATGTAATATACAGGGTGTGATTCAGCAGCTCTTGCTACCTAAATAGCTTCGAAAGTAGACATTTAAATGCCATTTAAAAACATAAAGGTTACCTTACCAAATAAAGTCAATCTAAAACAAATCAACTTTTGTTTAAAGTATTTGTTTGTCAGGTTATCTCAAGTACTTGAAAAATCGTGAATATAGTTATGTGGGACACCCTGTATATATATATACATACTATAATGAAAATGAATTATTAACAATTGCAAATGTAGTTGAGTTTCTTAGGAAATTGGTCAGTAACACCAGAAAAATCAATGACACCGTGCGATAGACAATTATTAGGTAGAGGACCTATGCAAGATGAAACAACTCAGAAACATGATTATACATGGCGTTATTGTACACCATCACGAGAAATAAGACCAGAAAATAATCTAACGTGTGCCCCAATTCCATTGGAATGTTAGCATAAGTTGAATAGAGATCAATTTCATAATCGTTTTTATTCATTCATCGTAAGGAAATAAAACAAAAATTCAACTGACATTAATTTGAACTTTTACAAACATATATCTAGGTTGTACAACGCATAAATTATCGTACATACCGAACGATAGTACGACATTATTACGTAACAATTCTTATGCACCGTGTCGTCAATATCAACCACCAAATTTACCAATGGAATCAGAAACAACCATGCGTTTGAGTTATCAACCAGTTGAACCAGCTGATCGTGTACCAAAACCTTGGAGCAAAATACCATCTTATCATAAACCTGTTACACCATTGGATGACAATACGACTTATAATTTAAGGTATTTCTATTCATTTATAATAAAATTTCTCAAATTTTATATATTATCTCAATTATCCTAAAATATATTAACAGATTAATAGAAATATATACAATTCATTATGGCGCTACGGACAATGCCTGTCAAATTAGCGTAACATTCAAAGTGTTAATTAATATTAATTACGAAGAACAAATTTGAGAAATTTTGATTTATTTTATTTCTTTTAGATTTGTATTCTAATAAATTTCGTTTAATATATGCATTTTCATTATAATATATTTCAGTTATATTCCACCTGGAACACTAGTACCATTGCCACCGTGTTATACATCTTGTTCTACGTCAAATAATTGTAACAGTAAGTATATAAATATATAAATATATATATAATAACATTTTTGTTCCTTTTTTTAGTGCCACCTTGTCAACCTTGTCAACCATGTCAGGCCTGTCCAGCATCCTGAATTAAAACCTTTTCTCATCTCATTTTGTTAAATTGATAAAAATAAAATAAAATGTTAATTAATACAATTGTCAAAGTAATACAAAAAATCAAATAAAATCAAAACGCGTGACACTAATATGCTACTGAAATTTTTACGTTGGTAACTTCATTGAAATTTTAAATTATTAATTATTTCTTCTATTATTATTCTATTATTATTCTTCTAGTCCTCACCCGGAGATCCGAACAGGGGACTAGTTTACCTCCGGAAAATTGTATCCTAGTAGAATCCATGGCGGTTTTCGTTGTCTCATGATAAAGTCGTTTTACGGTGTGGGGTAATCAAACCTACACCCAACCCCCAAAAAGGAGGGCCAATTCCAATCGGCTGTCCACGACTGCTTATTCAATTTATTCGCAGCTAATCTCCATCCCTATGCTGGTCAAAGAGGCCCTTCCTCTATCCGCAACCTGAGGACGCGTTGTGTTGTGGTGACTGGGACCCACCAACCCCAGGGACCACTAACAAACTAAATTTCCTTTCTCGAGAATAGCAGCTGTTATTCTAACACAGAAAGATTTCATTAGGCACATCTATTTGTATACTGTATCACTTATTCCGATCGAAATAATATTTGCTTTTTAAATAATTTTTTCTCTGAAAACTTCGGTATCTTTGGACCCATCTGTTACTCAAATATTCCTATTATTGGTCGACCCAATTAAGGAAATTTTTACCGTACCCAAATTCTTCCGAATGCCCCAACAAAGAACAAAACAAACCCGATAAGGCTATTTCTATTGCAACCGATATTTTTGAATGTTCCAACAAAAGGACGGAACAGTATTAGTAAAATATCAAATAAATAGAATGAGTTTATATA